AGGGGAAGCCAAGATAAGAAGGGTAGGGCCAGCCTACAAGAGAGGCCCTCAGTCCCTATGCTTTGTTCCTTGGCCTGAGCTTACCCCAGATAGGTCCCACCTTCACACCATATTCATAGTTCCTCCAACTCAGCTACCCAAGACTGTTCCAGGGAAAGAATTCCTTGGCTCAAGCCCTGGTCCTAGTCCCTCACCAGGATGGTGAAGTGAGTGATCTGATCCTTGGCTGCGGGGTTCAGATGCTTTGTGTGGAGGCTCAGCTGGAGGCTGCTGCCAACTTCGGTGTCAGACGTCTTCGCCTCTATGTGCAGGAAGTTCCCTGACCCATCCTGAGTTGAGTAAGGCCAAGCAGTCATCCTGGCTGATGCTTGATCCTCTGGCCGGAGATGCTCATCAGTTACCACCTGGGGATATTGATGGACGACTAACTCTCAATCCTTTCCATTTACAAAACCCCACCATTTCTGCCCCATCGGATTGGTACCTGGATAGGGAGCTGCTTCAGCTGTGCATCTGTGTTGATGGTCAGAGTGGCCACCCCACTGGGTGAGGTGTACATTTTGCGGTCTTGGTAGCGAACGAGAACTCCGGAGGCTGGGGACCCGTCAGGATTTGAGACGAAGACCTGAGGAGGAGTGTGGTGTGAGATAAAGGACAGGCCTGGGGGCAGCCTGCTGTGAGAGGTGGGAGCTGTGAAGGCCACCTGGATAGGACTGCCTTGGACAGCTGTGCGAGTTGTGCACTGAGCAAACACCAGGGATACCATTCACACTAGAGTCTTTGTGAATGGCACCCTTAGAGCATTGCTGCACACATCCATAGGTGGTAGCCCTGGGTGTTGGTGTGCCTGTGGGGTGAGGGTAGGGTGGAATTGGGGGAGGAGCAGTTGGAGGAGACATGGAGGGCTTGGGTGGGGGGAACGGAGCAGGACTGGGACTAAAGTAATGCCCATCAGACATCTCAAGGTCACCCCAAATGAATGTATGAGAAAACAGCGTGCTTGCCGTGCAAATGTAGCCTCAAGATAAACCCTTAAGCACCATGTTCCAGCCTGACTGTGACTCCTAAGCTCCCATAGAGAAATTATGGAGCTCTCTTTGTGCTTTGGGAAGGCATGGGTTAAGACTTGAGGAAACCTTGAGATTAATCTGGGGGCATGATGGACTCAACTCTAAGAAAGACTGGGGGCAGGTGAGTCCACTGTGGATTTTTATTTCTGGGGTGTGGCTGTTTGAGGGAGGGGCCCCTGAGTCCTTAGGTGGAGTGAACTCAGACTCTGACCCTAAAATGGAAGGGCATCCCCGGCTTGAAATACTGGGGTGTCCTGGTGAACTTGATGTTGTATGGGCTCCGGGCAATCTTCACCGCTGAGGTCTCGGCCTGCACCATCTCACCCCCTGTAGAGAGAGGGGACCATGAGGTCTGTGGAGGAAATTTAATTTCTTGGGGGAGTGGCAGGGCAGCAGGTATGGGAGGCACATGTTGGAGATGATGACAGGGAAAGACAGCAACACAAGTTCAACTCCTGCCAGCCCTTCTGACATTTCCCCATTTCTCTGACGAGGAAACGCAGGCAGGAGGCCACCTGAGGTCACGTGGGTGGAATGTCTGGGCTGAGAAGGAACACAGTGTCCTGAACTCAGCCGTAGGCCTGGGTGAGGGCAGCACCTGAGGAGAACACGGTGACGTTGACATAGATCGAGGCCCCTATGAAGTCCTCTTCTGGGCCTTGGAATGCAGCCATCAACGTGTCCTTCTGGAGGGAGACGTGACCCTCGCCTCTAGAGATCTGCTCTCAGGGCAGGAGAGAGGAGAGGAGGTGGTTTCGCAGGGAAGTGAAGGAGGGTTGGGGGGAAAGGAGGCTGGGGAGGGGTCCGAATTGGTTACCTCCACCCTCTGTAGAGAACTTTGAATGGCGATCCGGCGGGAACCCAGCTTCACCCCGAAGATGGCCAGGGCATGTCCGTCCACTGGCTTGTTGAATATATACCTGGGGGATAAAGAGACGCTCCACTGGCTCTGAAGCACCGCACAACCTCCTGTTGCTGCAACGATGGCCGTGAAACTTGGGGAGGGGCAGAGGCGGCCCCCTGGAAGCTAAGGTTTCATTGCTGACCCACAAAATCCTGGGAGGTGACAAATATGTTACATAAAACCTTGTTGAGTTGTAGATGTGGCTTGTGAAAACTCACGAGATGGTAGAGGTATCTTGTACTACGATTTGGAGCCACATAGGAGTCTGGACAACTTGTGGGGTGGCAGAGGTGGCCTGCGCAACATGATAAAGCTTCAGGCGTGGTCTGTATGACGTTAAGAAGTGGCAGGCATGGCCCTTACAAGCTTAGGTGGACAACACGGCCTATACAACCTCATAGAGCTGTGGAGATGGTCAGTAAACCCCACAGGCAGCGGATATGGCATTTGTAGTCTCATAGTTCTGCAGAGGTGATCCGGGTAACCTCACCAGGTGCCTGTGCAACCTTGTGGACCCTCCGAGGTGGTCCACACCATGAGATGTGGGGCGCTCCATTAGGTAGACAGGGTGGCCTGTACAACCCCAGAAACCTGAAGGGATGGTCTGTACAACCTCACAGGTGGCAGACGTGGTCTGTACAACCTTGTGGGACGATGAGGGTGACCCAGAATATCTGATGGGTGTCAGAAAGTGCCTTCATGATGCCCCAAGTGACCCAATTCTTACTACCCCTCAGTTTCTTTTTAAAAATATATATATTTTATTGATTTTTTACAGAGAGGAAGGGAGAAGGATAGAGAGTTAGAAACATCGATGAGAGAGAAACATCCATCAGCTGCCTCCTGCACACTTCCCACTGGGGATGTGCCCGCAGCCAAGGTACATGCCCTTGACCAGAATCGAACCTGGGACCTTTCAGTCCGCAGGCCGACGCTCTATCCACTGAGCCAAACCCGTTAGGGTCCCTTTAGTTTCTTGGTGTCCTTGGTCCTCAGGCCAGACTAAGAGTGAGGGGACTCACCAGGCCTGGATCTCCACACACAGAGAGTCATCACGGAGGTAGAAGAAGCTCTTCTTTGGGATCAGCCGGACCTCAAAAGAAGGGAGCACTGGGAGGAGGAAAGGCAGTGAACACCCTCAGCCGCTTACCGTCCTCGCCCTAACCCCTCCCTGTCCTGCTCCTTCCCTGGTGACTCCGGCCACCCCCGAGGACTGGAACGTGCATCCCTGTTCACCGGCGCCCAGTCCAGGCCCTGGCACACAGTAGGTGTGCCACAAGACCGCCTCTGCACCTCCAGCCCTGCTGCTGGCTTGTCCCACCTCGCCCTCCCCGTCCCACGCTGCTCACCATACTCCTTCACGTCAAAGGCTGCTTTGAACTTCAGCTTGCCTGCACTTTGGTAACTGGCTTCGATGGTCCAGGTCCCAAAACTGAGGCACAGAAAGTTAGGAGAAATGGAGACTGAGGAGGCCCCCCACCTGCCCCCCCGGCCCTAGGGCTCCCAGTAGGGCACCTGATGAGCTCTGGGAGGTGGAAGGAGCTCGCGAAGATACCTCTGCTGGCCAGCAGATCCTGGCTGATCACAGTGATCCCTTCCGGGTTCTGCGGGGACAGCGGGTGGGTGGTTCATCCCCCAGGCCCTCAGCACACGATATAACCCCCGTGCCTGGGACCCACCCTGCCAACAGGAGAGGCCACCTTGATGTCCAGAGTGAATGTCCTGGTCACAGGATCCATCTTGTGGTTCACAGTGAGCACCCGGTACTGAACTGGAGGAGGAGGGAAGACGCTGAGTGTTGGGTAGAGTTTGGAGAGGGCTGTAGTCATTATAGTCTTGGGCAGTGGGGGGACCTAGGCAGGTGGGATACGTTGGGCATTGGGGGAGGCTGGGGGGAGAGGCAATGTCTGCTCCAGGCCAAGTGCGCAGAGGCTGTACCCATGTGCTCAGGGGTGTAGATGGTCTTGTCCGTCTGGATGAAGATGTAGCCAGCATGGGGAGCCACCAGCACAACCTTCTCCATGAACGAGGAGGTGGAGGTGGGTGCCCATGTTGCCCGGATGATGACATGCTGCTGCCCTGGTTGTGGGGGGTATACCAGGCTCTCGGGAACCTGGGGAGAGATGCCCACACTCCTCAGGCCCTGCTGGGGTCTCCATCCCTGGGAGCAAAGCCCTGGGCCAGATCTTGGGAGAGCCAACTGAATGGGGGCCCTCCAGCTCTGCCTTTGGGAGCAAGGTCGTGTGGCTGTGCAGGTTGCTCCTGCACAAGGACATTGCCTCCAAGCGGAGATACAATCCAGGCCGTGGTCAGTTTTCCAAGTCACCAGCAGAGGGCGCCTTTATAATTAGCACAGAGGAATCACATATGACCTGTATTATAGGCTAATAACCATGGCCCTTCTGGGAGCCCAGATGAAGGGATCTTGGATTTCTAAATGGACAGAACATAAGGGGAGCACTAAGTAGATCCATGCCCTGCGTCTATTCCCTCGCGCATCTAGTGGAAGTCCCCCCTAGAGCCTGCCACTCTCCGCCCTTGCTGCCGGCCTGGAGCCGCCCTTTGTGGCCTCCCATGCTGGCCCGTCTCTTACCATCAGGGCTGCCTGGCTCATGAAGTGGTTTTCTGGTGAGAGAGTGAGCTGGCTTCTGGCCACCTCCGCCTTCTTCCGGGGGAAGTCCCACACAGTGAGGTTCACCTCCAGGGTCCCGGTAAGGGGCTGCCCGGAGTCCGAGTGGGCCTGCACGTGGATGTTCTCAGGGTTGCCGACCCGCAGGACTCGGGGGGTCACCAGGATATACCTGCCGACAGACAAACACAGGGCCCAGGGGCCTCCAGTGGGGGAGGCAACGGCAGAGACCGACGGGGTCCCCTGCGGGGAGTCATGAAGACCACAGAGTGTAGGCAGGTTCCCCTCAGCTTCCCAGACTCACAGTGGCTCAGCATGGGTGAGGGGGATCCCCAAGAGGAGCAGAATCAACCCCAGGGACCAGGGCACGTCCATGGCAGTGGGACGGTGATGTGGGCTGCCGGCCACAGATGCCTGTCCTCTTGTCCGCCCGGCTCTGGCCTGTTTGCCTTGGCCTGTCCTGGCTGAGTTAATATCTAACGGACATGGGAGGGGATCCCCAGAGACTCAATGGGAGCAGAGCGGCTGCTCCTCCTTCTCAGCCAAGCCTCCCCTGGGGGGCCAGGGACAGTAACATATCCATTTCCCAATCACAGGTTGGAGCAGCCATAAGGCATTTAGCCGTGTAGCTCCAGGGTCCATCATAATGGAACCTTCTGAGAAATGCACGGCTCAGATCCTTTTGCTCTTTAAATTAAAAAAAAAATTATCTGTCTATCTATCTATATTTCTGAGAGGAAGGGAGAGGGAGAGGGAGATAGAAACATCAATGATGAGAGAGAATCATTGGCCACCAGCTTGTAACCCGGGCATGTGCCCTTGACCGGAGTTGAATCCAGAACCTTTCAGTTCTCAGGCTGATGCTCTATCCACTGAGCCAAACCAGCTAGGGCTAAATCTATATTTTTATTGAATTCAGAGAGGAAGGGAGAGGGAGAGAGGCATAGAAACATCAATGATGAGAGAGAATCATTGATGAACTGCTTCCTGTATGCCTCCCACTGGGGATTGAGCCCGAAACCTGGGCATGTGCCCTGACAGGGAATCAAACCCTGACCTCCTGGTTCATAGATTGACACTCAACCACTGAGCCACCACGACCGGGCTAATTGAAAAAAATAGATATTTTTATTGATTTCAGAGAGAGAGGAAGGGAGAGAGAGACAGAGAAACCTCAATGAGAGAAACCATCCATCTGCTGCCTCCTGCGTGCCCCTACTGGGGCATGTGCCCGACCCGGAATCGAACCAGTGACTGACCTCCTGGAGCATTGGACCGCCCTCCCTCTACGGAGCCACACCTTTTGCTCTGGATCTTTCCGCACCCAGCATCTTTCCCCTTCTTTGCAGGAGACAGTTATGCTCGGTAAACTGTGACCATTGTCCTTTGTCCCTAAATCATGCCAAGCTCTTCTGGGCTCCTTTTCCAAAGGCGAATTATACATATTAAACCGGGGACAGAAACACATCATGCTTGAAGCATCTCTGGAAGAAAGCTTCCTCTGTTCGGAAATAATTCTCTCTGGCTGTTTAAAGAGCCCATTAGAGATGAAGGGCCGCTTTGTGGTGTCTGCCTCTCAGAAGCAGGCGGGGTTGCAGACAAGGTTGTCTGGTTTTTCCCTCTTCTGGGAACTCAGGGCTGCTAGCTTTGGGAGGGGGGGGGGTCTTCCCTCTTGGAGGGCCCCAGATCTCCCCAAACAACGATGATATACATTTATCCAACAAAGATTCATTCAGTATCTACCAGGAGCCCAGCCCTGCTTAGCATGCTGGGGACACAGCAGTGACCACAACAGACAGCATCTCTCCTGGGCTGCAGGCGTGCCTTCTTCTTAACCCCCCGCCTCTGTGCGTTAGATTCACCGCGTGCTGACTTGCCAGGCTGTCCTTGCAGAGCACCGGAACCCCACGTGTGTCCGAAACAAGGGGGGCAGGTAGCATCTAGCTATTGATTCCTTGGGCGTTTATTGAGCACTTACTATGTGCCAGACGCTGTTTTACATGCTCTGTGTACATTCACATAAGTCTCACAGCCGTGCTGAAGTAAGAATTAGCACCCATTGCGAAGATGAGGAAACCGAGGCCCCAGGAGGTGAGCCACGTGCGCTGTGGCACACGGATGAGCTAAGAGGACGGGCAAGGCACTTACATCCGTGGTAAACAATCTCTTAGGAAGCAAGGAATCAGCAGAATCAAATAAGGCCTGGGTTGGTGAGCAGGTGACATCTAACTTAGGAGGTTCTAGAACTTTGGTGTTCATTTGGGGTGGACCAGGCTCTCAGGGAATCTCCACCGGTTCTGGCCAGCTCTCCTCTGGCTGGGATGAGCCCTCTCCTTCCCATCTTTGTCCCGCACCAGGTGTCCATACCCCCCCCCCCCCAGCCCCCCTGTCCCAGGGCCTCCCAGGTCCAGGACAGGGTGTTGTCCAAAGGCAAGTGGCGCAGAGGCCCTAGCCTCAGTCCCTCCCACTTTCTCTCCTGGCGGGGCTTCTTCAGGCAGTTCAAGTGGCTCTGTCTTCCGAGTGGGAATCCTTGCCAGGTGGCACATCTGAGCCTTTTTTGAAGCATGCTCAGGCCTGTGGCTCCCTTGAGCTTCTGTTTGACTTGGGGGTGGTTCCAGGAAGGGAAAAAGTGCCCTTGCTGGCTCAGGTAGGAGGTGTAAAGAGCTCTCAGCCGATGAACAGCAGAGGAGACAGCAAACACTGAAAGCAAACAGGGTGGGGGGAGGTGCCTGTTGGGATATGACCTTGCCATCCAATGAACAAATGGATGGAGACAAAAGCAGGTATTGGGCGAGCGAGTGGTAGCAGACACTCTCAGCTCATACAACTGTTCCCTCTTACCCCACCCCACCCCAGATTCCCCCAAAGAAGAATGACAAGCCTTTGTTCAATTACTGTGCATGGGGCACCTATTGTGTACCTGGCCTTGTTGTAGGCGTTGGGGACACAGCAGTGAACATGACAAAACTCTTGCCCTTTTGGAGTGGATGGTTACTGTAGACACGCCCACCAGGACTGTCTCTCTCTTTTTAAAAAAATATGTTTTGTTGATTTCAGAGAGGAAAGGAGAAAAAGAGTGAGATAGAAGCATCAACGATGAGAGAGAACCATTGATCAGAGACCGCAACAGGGGCATGTGCCCTGACCGGGAATCGAATGCTGGCCTCATGGTTCATAGGTCAACGCTTAACCTCTGACCACACTGGCAGGCCCAGGACTGTTTCTCTCTCTCTCTCTCTCTCTCTCTCTCTCTCTCTCTCTCTCTGTCTCTCTTTAAATATTTTATTGATTTCTTACAGAGAGGAAGGGAGAGGGACAGAGAGTTAGAAACACTGATGAGAGAGAAACATTGATCAGCTGCCTCCTGCACACTCCCTACTAGGGATGTGCCAGCACCCAAGGTACATGCCCTTGACTGGAATCGAACCTGGGACCCTTCAGTCCGCAGGCCGAAGCTCTATCCGCTGAGCCAAACCTGTCAGGGCAGGACTGTCTCTTTTAATCCTTTCAGCAACTTAACCCACGGCCCCATTTTGCTGATGAAAAAACCCATGCACTGGAGGGTGAAGTGTCCTGCCCCCAATTTTGCAGCTTGGAAACTGAGGCACCGGGAGGTTGAGTGACTTTCCAGGGTCATGCAGCAGTTAAGCGGTGGAGCTGAGCTCCTGAACCCGGGCTTACGGGGGAGCAGGAGGAGGGTAAGTAAGAGGTGGGGAGAGCAGCTGTGGGCTCCACCTGCCCCCTCCAGCCGGTCATGGTCAAGTTCAGCCTCTCGCTTGGCCACGAGAGGGCGCCAGCTAGCCTCCGGCCCGGCGCCGAGGAGGCACCGGCCCCTCCCGCAGGAATGCGGGCGGTGGAGGCGGGGAAGCGGGCCGCCCGCCCGGAGCAGCTGCTGCTGCCGCTCAGATTCCGCCGGCCGTCCTCTCCCTGGAAGCCCCGGTTTGCAGCGAAGAGGCCGGCGCGGGAGGAACGGCCTTGCAGGGATGTGCGGTCTGTTTCCCCTGCGCCGCCTCCTCCAGGGCTTCCAGCCGGGGCTTCCCGGGAAAGGCCGGGATTCCCGGGAAAGGCCGGGCTGGGCCCAGGAGGCCAGGAATAATAGCCATAGGAACACCACGACGAAGGGCTGACATTTCTGAAACAGCTACTAAGGTCTGGCACTTTCTCTCCGGCAACGCCTCTATTTTACAGACGAGGAAAGTGCTCTTGGTGGCTCAGGTAGGAGGTGTCAAGAGCGCTCGGCTTGGACTGTGCAGCCAGGAGGTGCCCAGCTTAGTCACTTCCAGTCCCACCCATGGCCCAGGGCTAGAGAGTCTCATGTTAACCTGTTAACTTACCCATTCATTCATTCATTCATTCATTCATTCATTCATCAGATATTTGGGTATCTATCATGTACTGGATCCTGGGGATACGGCCGAGCACACAGACAACAATCTCCTCTCTGTGAAGTTGACATTCTAGTGGGTACAGATGGGCAAGAAACAAACTGTGACTATAGCTGTAGCATGTATGTCAGTGATGAGGAAGGACGCGGTTTGAGGGGATGGAGTGACAGGGTACTACCTGTGGGGGTCAGGGGGGACCTCTCTGAGTTGGTGACTTTGAGCACCTTAAGGAGGTAGAGCAGGAAACCATGTGGCCATAAGAGGAAAGCATTCCCGGCAGAAGGAACAGCCAGCGCAAAGGCCCTGAGGCGGGAGTGTGCACAGCATGTTCAAGGAGCAGCAAGAAGGTCGGCGTTCCTGGAATGAAGTGGGTGAAGGGGAGAGAGTGGGAGATGAGTTGAGACAGGTATTCAGGGATGAGATCCTGTAGGAGACCTACCTGACGGTTGGTGATTCGAATCTAAGTAAGAGGGGAAACCATCGAAGAGTTTTGAAAAGAGGGGTGACATTATTTTTCTGTTTTGGTAGAATCATTTTGGGTATGTCCTTTGTTACTATGACTTGAAATCCAAAATTCATCAGTACAGGACTGATTGCATAAATTATTGTTCATGGATATATATATATATTTTTATATATATATATTTTTATTGGTTTCAGAGAGGAAGGGAGAGGGAGAGAGAGAGATAGAAACATCAGTGATGAGCGAGAATCATTGATCGGCTGTCTCCTGAACGCCCCCTACTGGGGAATCAAATCCACAACCCAGGCATGTGACCTGACTGGGAATTGAACCATGACCTCCTGGTTTATAGGTCAATGCTCAACCACTGAGCCACACCAGGAGGGCCATGGGTATATTTTCCATTGGTTTTTAGAGAGAGTGGAAGGGGGGGAGGGGGAGAGAGAAGAGAGAGAGAGAGAGAGAGGGAGAAACATCAATTGGTTGCAGATCCTTTGGTGTTCAGGCCAATGCTCTAACCTCTGAGCTACATAGGCCAGGGCAGAATTGTTTCTTAAAAAAAAAATCCTTTAATTATGTAAACCCTCCCCCCCCCCAAAAAAAAACACACAACCCCACCATTGTGAACATTTTACTTATTCAAAAGATCTTTTTAAGGCTCCCCTGGGCTGCTATGTGGAGAGTGGATTGTAGGGGCAAATGCAGAAGGCGGGAGGGGAAGAGGGCTGGTGCAATACTCCAAGGGAGAAATGACAGTGGCTGGACTAGTGTGGAGGCCACGAAGGTGTTCGACGTGGTTGGTTCTGAATGTATTGTGCGGGTCACGTGAACAAGATCTCCTGATATACTGGCTGTGAGGTGTGACAGAGAGGAACTAGAGATGACTCCAAGATTTTTAGCCGGAGCCACTGGAGGAACGAACTTGTTTTTGTTACGATGGGGAAGACAGGGGGATCAGGTATGAGTGTTGAAATAAAGAGGCAAAGGTTGGTGTGTCTTGAACACTCTTTGAACTGCCAATCTCTGTTGACTCCGAGGTAAACAATAAAATAGCAAAAGCGTCCAGCTAGTTAATAACAGTTGTCTCCCCCACCCCCCACATTTATTTTTATAGCTGCCATCTGGATCGGTGACGCTTCTTCCTTAAATGCATCCGAAACTGACTCAGGGTGATTTAAGCTGCAAAGGAATTTATTGGCTGGATGCTGGGGGCTCATGCAATCGCCAGCCTTGGAAGATAAAGAGGAACAAGTGACCCTGGCTGGCTGGCTGGCTCAGTTGGTTGGCGCGTCATCCTGGACAGCAAAAGGTTGCACGTTCAATTCCCGGTCACAGCACATACTTAGGCAATCGATGGATGTTTCTCTCTCACATCGATGTTTCTCTCTCTCCCTTCCTCTCTCTCTAAAATAAATAAAACATATCATTGGGTGAGGATAAAAAAAAGGAAAAAAGCAAAGGAACAAAGTGGGGGTGCAGGGCAGCAGCTGAGGCCACAGCTTAAACCAGCCGTGGGCAAACTACGGCCTGCGGGCCGGATCCAGCCCGTTTGAAATGAATAAAACTAAAAAAAAACAAAGACCGTACCCTTTTATGTAATGATGTTTACTTTGAATTTATATTAGTTCACACAAACACTCCATCCATGCTTTTGTTCCGGCCCTCCGGTCCAGTTTAAGAACCCATTGTGGCCCTCGAGTCAAAAAATTTGCCCACCCCTGGCTTAAACCATAGCCCCTGGAACCAGCCGGCAGCTCCAGCTTTTGCTGTCAAGCCTGGCAATACATGGCTCCTGTCTCCTCTGCCGCGTGTCCTCGCTGATCCTGCCTCCTCTGTGTGGCCGCCTCTCGATTCTAAGTCATATGCATCTGCTGAGTGGAATGGGGCTTACACGCTCACCCTCTAGCTGCAAGAGAAGCTGGGAGGGAAGGGCTGGTGTTTTTTCACACAGCAAGCCTATGAGTGGGGGATTTGGGTTACTGTATGCCTCACCCACAAATGAATATCCAGTTCGGCTTCACTTATGGTGACTATGATGGCTTTTCCTTTAAAAAAAATTTTTTTATTGATTTTTTACAGAGAGGAAGGGAGAGGGATAGAGAGTTAGAAACATCGATGAGAGAGAAACATCGACGAGCTGCCTCTTGCACACCCGCTACTGGGGATGTGCCCGCAACCAAGGTACATGCCCTTGACCGGAATCGAACCCAGGACTCCTCAGTCCGCAGGCCAATGCTCTATCCACTGAGCCAAACCAGTTAGGGTGGCTTTTCCTTCTTGACAAAGAGAGAAATTTGTCTCCTAAGATGATTTAGTTAAAGGAGATTTTAGGAAGCAAGGAAATGTTGGACATAAAATTCAGGACGGTTGGACACCTTTGAGGGAAGGCAGGCCGCGAATATCGATAATGTTCTCTTGGTGGTCTAGCGAGTGCGCCTTTTGCTCCTCTGCTGTCTGAGGCACATGTGTGACCTCGGCCAGGTCCTGGATGGAAGGGAGAGCACACTCAAGTGGGTCCATGGGGAGTCCTGAGGGGCGATTATGAAGGAAAGGGCAGGGCAGGGCAGGGCAGGGAGTCCTGTGGCGGCTGGCGCAGTGCCCTCTGCTGGCAGCTGTGGGTCCCATCTTCATCTTTAGCTTAAAGGGGCCAGGGGAGGGGTGGTTCTCAGGAGCTGGAGCTGAGCCTTAGATGGAGAGATTCTATGGCTCCACCGAGGCCCGATGGACAGCGCTGGTCTGTCTCCTCCCACCCTCTGACCTTCTACCCGGGCCTCCCATTGGCAGAAGCCAACACAACCAACCGGGAGGCAAAGGCGGTGGGGAGTGGTTGAGGTACTGGGGGGAGGGGGGGGGCGAGCCTCCTGGGGCGATCCAAAGGCCTCCTGCATCTGTGCGCTTTATATGGCCTTTAAAAAATCAATTTCCAAATTGAGATGTAATTCACGTACCATAAAGCTTGCCATTTTGAAGTGCAGAATCAGTGGATTTGGGTATATCCACGCTTGTGCAACCATCCCCACTATCTATTTTCATATGTTCTTTTAAAGGTATTACAACATCGTTTCAAAAATCCAATAAGGAAGAGGAAGAGAACTTAATTTGATAAAACATACTAAGTTACCTCCCCCCCCTTCCCATCTCTCAGCGTCTCTTCCTAGGGCCCCAGACTCAATTTCCCTTCGTCCAGGTCCCTACAGACCCCTGAAGACCAGCGGAAACGGAGTGGGACGGCCCTGGGCTTGACTCCTATCCCTCTCCTCCGCCCCTGACAACCTCCGCTTCTCCATTTACGGCCTGGGGAGGTTCTGCGTGCCTCCGTCTGAGGAGGCTGCAGAGCAAACACGAATGAGAATAATGCTGCCCGGAGATGGGCGTGCCGAGGTGGTGGCTGAGCCTGAACCACAGCAAAAACCCCAAGCGAAGCGGAGCCGTGCAGGGGCCTGTCCTGTTGTTTCCACGCCATCGCTGCTAACCTGCTTCACAGAAGGTGAGGCCAGGGAGTCGCCTGCCCAGAGTCCCCCAGAGTCCGTTCGCTTCCAGATTCACCGGAGGAGGGCCAAGAAACGTGGGATCGTTTGTTGGGGACTCAGGTGGGACCCCTATCACTTTTCAAATCATTTTAATTGTGGTAAAAAGATACATAACACAACATTTAGCATCTTAGCATTTTTGTTTTGTTTTGTTAATTCTCACCTGAGGATGTTTTTCTCATTGCTCTTCGGAGAGAGTAGAAGGGAGGTGAGGCGGAAGAGGGGTGGGGCGGAGAAACATTGATATGGGAGAGATGCATCCACTGGTTGCCTCCTACGCACGCCCGGATGGGGAAGTGCCCTTGACTGGGAATTGAACCAAGACCCTGCCTGTGCAGGCTGACACTCTAACCACTGAGAACACCAGCCAGGGCCCATCTTAATGTTTTTAAGTGTACAGTTCATTAGTGCTAAGTACAGTCACATTGTCGTGTAACTGTCATCACTATCCATCTCCTGAACCCTTCATCTTGCAAAATTGAAGTTCTTTCCCCATTAAACAATGACTCACCCCCCTCCCTCCAGCCCCTGGCACCCACCATTCTACTTTCTGTCTCTATGAATTTGCCTACCGTAGGGACCTCATATAATTGGAATCCTACAGTATTTGTCTATCTGTGAAGGCATATTTCACTTAGATAATGTCCTCGAGTTTCATCCATGGCAGACACGTGTCCACTTCTTTTTAAGTTTGAGTAACATTTCCCTGTATGGATCGGCCACACTTGTTCATCCATTCATCCACTGATGGACATTTGAGTTGCTGGTCTGAGTCATGCTGCTATGAACGTGGGTGTGCAAATACACACCCAGATATGAACTTGCTGGGTTATATAATAATTTTTTCATCGTTCAGGGAACTGCCACACTGTTTTCCATAGGGGCGGCACTATTTTACATTCTCACCAACAATGCACGAGGGTCCAATTTCTCTACATCCTTGACAACGCTTATTATTTTCTGTTCCGTTTTTTGTTGTTGATATTAGGCATTCTAATGGGTGTGAAGCAGACCCTATCTATTGCTTTTTAATGTTTTATTTAGACATAAGAAATTGAGCTGTATTAAATATTTAATATAGAGATTGTTAGTGGTTACAAATCTATATTTTGTGAAAAGCTTATGTACATTGCTGGTGTGTGCACAAACACGTTTTGTTGATGGAGTGTGTGTAACCAGAAAAGTCTGGAGACCCCCTGGTGAACCCAGCTCTATGCATGTGTGTATTGCAGGGGCCGGGAGGGCGGGTGATGGAGGTGTTTGGATCATCCCTGTATTCCCAGGCCCAAGATAATGAAATGCTGAGAGACAGTCTGTCTCACCCTTCAATGTCCATGGACAATGCCCCTTCCTCCAGGAAGCCCTCCCTGGCCTTCCCAGACGCAGCACCAGCTCCTGGCTCTGGATTCCTCAGCCCAGGGTCCTGGGTCCCTTCTCTCTGCCCCAGCCCTGACCACGAGGGTCTGTGCCTGGAGGCTGAATTTGCTGAATGAATGAGTGAGTGAGTGAATGAATGAATGAGTGAATGGCCTGTGTGGCCTCTGACCTGGATGTGCACTGGGGAGGTCTGGCTGTTCAGGAGTGGGCAGGGGTGGGCGAGGCTCACCCAGGCCACACCCGGGTGGGGCAGCAGCCGCAGGCCAGGCAGCGGAGCGCCCGGCCCAGGAGGCGCGGCCAGCGGAAGAGCAGGCGGTGGGCCGATCGCACGTACAGGCGGCCGGAGGGGTCCGCGGCCTTGAGCGCGGTCAGGGCGCAGTAGCGGGCGTTGGTCTGTCGGCGCAGGGGGGGTCTGGCCGAGCCGATGACCTTGACGATGACCTGTGGGGTGGCTCCCTGAGCTGGGGCCGGACGGCAGTTCTGTAGGGAGGGCCCCCTACGTACCTAATCCGCGTCTTGGGGTCCCCTGCTCACCTGGGCCACATCCTGGGGGCTCTGCCCCAAACAGCGAAAGAGCTCCCGGGAGGCTGGGAGGTAGAGGTCCCGGAAGTAGCGCAGGGTGTCGGGGTCGGCGCCTGGGAACTGGGCGGTGGAAACCTGCTCCAGCAGCTTCTCCTCAAAGGCCGTGCCCACGGGGCCGGGTTCCACCAGGGAGATGCTGGGGGCAGGGCGGGGGAGGGTCTGGTGCCCCAACACACTCTCACCCCATCTGGCTCATGACTGTCCCTCTTCCCTTCTCACCCCTCATTCCCCCTCATTACTTCATCCCTCCGGCCCCCATCTCCTCGATACCCCCTTTTCCTTGTCTGCCCCTGCCGCCTCCCCTAACCACCCCCCCCTCTCTGTTTCCCCTCATTGCCCAAGGGCCCGCCTCACAAGATGTTGAACTGGAGCAGCTGGATGGCCAGACTCTCGAAGAACCCTTCCAGGGCAAACTTTGAGGCTGCGTAGACGTCGTTGAACACGACACCTGAGAGGGTTGGAGGAAGGCCACCCTTTGGGGTCTGGGTGATGGGTTTTGTGGGTCCAGAGGGAAGGGGTCTTTGGGAGACAGACGAAGAGGGTTTGAGGGTTGGAATGAGGAGCTATCAGGGGGGCCAAACTCACAGGCGTATGGTATTGTGTGATGGGAGCACATGGGGCCAGGGGGAGGCTGTCCTGGCATCCCAGGTGCCACTGCTTCCCAGCCGTGCTCCCTCAGCCCTCAGCCCTCAGCCCTCAGCCCAGGAAATGCTCTGACTTCCCTCCATCCTCCTCTAAACCCTGGGGGCCACTTGGGTCTGGGATCCCAGGGCCCTGAGGACAAGTCCTGATCAGCTGGCCCCTTCTCAGTCCTGTTGAGCAGTAAATGGGGCTGGATGAGGGGCCAAAGGGATGAGCGAAGTAAATGCAGCTTCTCTGTGGCGGGATAAGGAATAGGGCGGGTTCTCTAGGGGACAGCTGGGGAGAGGGGCAGATCCGAGGAACCGCCCCGGGGAGGAAGGGAGTCTAGAGGGGTTCGAGGAGGAGAAACCCAAGAGCATGGGTGGCAAGTAGGTGGCTTCCATTGCAGGCCCATGGCAGACGTCACTGTCAATCACTGCTCTCTCTTCTGAGGAACTTCAGAATCCCAGACTTAGGCCTCTCTGTGGCCTGGTGGTGAGTGTTTATCAAGGAGGAATCTCAGGAGGAGTTCTGGGGTGTGTGTGTGTGTGTGTGTGTGTGTGTGCGTGTGTGTGTGTGTGTTATTGGGCGGTGGCTGGGAGAGATTTTTGGAGGTGTTCGGAAGTGGGGATGGTGCTGGGATGTTGATGGCCATTGGCAGCATCTATACCACCACTGCCTAGACCTGCACCAGGGCAGACATAGTTCATCTTTCCCAGAATTGTTCCTTCTGAGCTTCAGGATCCTTCTCAACATGGGCTCATTTAGAACATGAGCTAAAACCTATTTGCCATCCTTCCAGCTAAGGAAGGTCAGACACTGGGGACTTCCCCGGGGAGGGCCCCAGAGCTTACCCTGCAGCCCCATGACACTGCTGACCACCACGATGTGTCCCTGCCGCCTCCTCTTCATGCCAGGAAGCACAGCTCTGACCAGACGGACAGCTCCGAAAAAGTTGGTGTCAAAGACTTTCTGCATGGTAGCTAGACTGAGCCCCTCCAGGGGCCCCACCAGGCCCACGCCAGCATTATTCACTGAGGGGGAGACGCTGAGGGTTACTCTGCAGTCCCCCAACCCTTCCAGTGTCACTCCTCAGGGGACACTCCCTGAGTCACCTCATCTGCCCACTCCAAACCCAGGTCAGTCCAGGGTATCTTGGGGGTGGACAAATGTGGAGCCTTGATGATCTTCACATATAATTCAACGTTTGTTGTAGGGGACCCTGAACCCTGGGAGGGGGGAAGGGCTGCCGGGAACAACCTCCACTTTTAATGCATGAGCAATTGAACTCTGACCCCAATTACCTCAAAACAGCCATACCCACCCTCCTTAGACGTGGTTATGGAATCATGAGCTGCTTCTTCATCATGCTCCCTTCCCCAAATGATTCATCAAACCACATATGATGTTCTCCATGTGTGAGAAGTTTTCTTAAGTAAAATCTCTCTGACCTGAGATTTCATTTTATTTCCAGTATTCCCATTAAGACTTGGGCTTTTGGCCAACTGGTCTACCCCTTCTGTTCAGGGCGAGAGGATACTGATGAAGCAAGAGAGCTGGTGACCAGACACTGAGGGCCCTTGCTGTGATGAGGATCTATGCTTAGGCCAGGGAGGGGGCGAGTGACCTCAGGGATTTTTCAGTCTCACCCAGCACGTCCACTTCTCCTCCCTGGATGCAGCTGAGACATTGGGCCACTGACTCATCACTGCACACGTCCAGCTGGGCCACGGTGAGGGTCTGACCCAGAACCTCCCCGGCAGCTGCCTCCAGTGTCCCCTTCTTTCCCAGATCTCTCATGGTGGCCACCACTGGGGACAGAAAACAGTTGGGGCAGGTACTGGCTCCTTTCCCCTAAGGATGGACTTGTCCGTTTCTGTGGTCTTGCCTGAGCAGTCACAGAGGGATGGAGACCCACAGATTTGCACACCTACATTCACCACACATCCACAGAATCACACTTGTGTACATATCTTTACATGCTTATCCATCCATCCATCCATCCATCCATCCATCCATCCATCCATCCATCTGTCCGTCCGTCCGTCTGTCCGTCCATCCACCCATCCGTCCATCCAACATGTTTATTGAGCATCTACTACATACCATGTCCTATTCTAGGTGCTGACACTCTTGCATAAAATAAGATAAAGTCTGTGCCTTCATGGAATTCACAGCCTAGTAGGCCAGACAATAAAATAACTATAAAACAGATTGCTTTGAGGAGAAATGCATAGACAGCTAGGGTCAACATATGTGCTATGTGCACGTGCAGCTATGATATACACATTTACATCATCAGCATGAGTTCCAACTTATTGAATACCTACTCTGTGCCAGACACTGTGCTAAACACTGTTATAAGTACCATCTCAAATCCGCACAGGAACCCTATGATCAGATCACTAACGTTTTTCCAAAGATGGCCATGACATCTTTCATTGCATGTGCTTGTCTAGAACCTGCTGCTCCCCCATCAAGCATGAACTCCCTTTCCCTCTCCTTGACTCTGTGACTAGCTGTGAACCAATAGACTATGGGGCTAGTGATGTTGCGTGGCTTCTGAGTTGAGGCCAGAAAAGGTGCTGCAGTCTCTGCCTTGTTTGCTGGCACACTCACTCTGGCTGCCTTCAGCCACCCTGTGGCAGCCCCGCGGTCCTGAGGTCACCAGGTGGGGAGGAAACTCAAGCCACTGAGATTCCTGAGAGGGAGATGCTTGTCCGAACCCTGACATGCTCCAGCCTCCTCCGTTCTAGCTGTAGCCTTTGGCCCTGAATCAGAACCACCCAGCTGAGTCCTTCTGAGTTCATGGCCTTTGTAAGCTGTGAGATAAATGATGATAGTTTTTTATACTATAAGTTTTTTTTTTAATCCTCACCCGAGGATATTTTTCCATTGATTTTTAGGGAGAGTTGAAGAGAGGGGGAAAGATAGAGAGAAACATCGATGTGAGAGAAACACACTGATTGGTTGCCTCCTGCATGAGCCCCAGCCAGGGCCCGGGCTGGGGAGGGGCCTGCAACTAAGGTACGTGCCCTTGACTGGAATCGAATCCAGGACCCTTCCGTCCACAGGCCAACGCTCTACTTACTGAGCCAAACCGGCTAGGGCTACACCGTAAGTGTTGATTTATTATTTAGCAATGGTAACCAGAACAGGTAGGTAAAGTTATCCCCATCGTACAGATTAACACACTAAGGCTCAAGAAGGTGACATTTCCTCTCTGTCCCACCCCTAGCTAGCGTTAAAACTGAGATTTGAACCTGGTTTTATCAGAGTGCTGAGCTCACATGCTTGTATGTGAGCACGCCCCCCATGCGTGCACCCACAATCGCACGGGCATGCTCCCTAGGGGGCATTTGCATGTTGCCTGTGGGACTGTGGGACTCACGGTGCTGCATAGGTGAGTGGGGCCACATGCATCTGCATGCAGTACAGTGACAAGGATGGTCCCAGGGGCTAGGCTGCCTGGGTTCAATCCAGGTTCTGCCACTTTGCAGCTGGGTGACCTTTGGCAAGAACCTTTGGCAGCCTGTGCCTCAGTTTCCTCATCTATTTTTTTTAAAGAAAGATATTTTATTGATTTTTTGCAGAGAAGGTAGAGGGATAGAGAGTTAGAAACATCGATGAGAGAGAAACATTGATCAACTGCCTCCTGTACACCTCCTACTGGGAATGTGCCTGCAACCAAGGTACATGCCCTTGACCGGAATCGAACCTGCAACCTTTCAGTCCGCAGGCCGACGCTCTAGCCACTGAGCCAAACCAGTTAGGGCTCATTTATTTTCTTTTAAAAAATTGATTTTAGGGAGAGAGATAGATCCATTGCTCTAAGAATCCATGCATCCATTGGTTGACTCTTGTATGTGCCTGGACCAGGGATTGAACCCCAAAACTTGGCGTATCCGGACGACGCTCTAACCAGCGGAGCTACCTGGCCAGGGCTTTCCTTATTTCTAAGATGGGTCAAATGACAGTGAGCACCTCATAGGGGTGCTGTTCGGATTAAATATCTAACTAGATGCAAAGCCCTTAGCCTGGCACATTGTCAGCACTCAATAAACGTATCCTTCAGCAGCTTCATACACTCTGCCTGCCGGGGACACATGCTGCACAGCGGCTGTCCTGCGCACTGGCACTCAGACGGCCGCGTTCTGAGCTGTGCTTGTGTCTAAGACAGAGGGTGGAGAGAGGGCTGGGAGAAGCAGTGCTGCCAACTGGGACAATGCCCTCACCCCCTGCAGTCTCCTCTTAAGTAACAGCCCTCTGTCCACTTTGACTCCGGCCTGCTCTGGGCCAGAGGTCTCCATGGGTGGGGTGCAGACTGGGGCAGTTGACTCCAGAATTGCAGGAGGCCAAGTCCTCTAGGACCCCTTGAGACCTCAAGGTCAGATTCACTTAAGAGGCTTATCTTGGAGCAGTAATCTGGGGAGGGCTGGGGAAGGGGAGCCCTAGGGACTGCCTGAGCGAAACCCCCCTGATCAGCCCTCTTAAAACTGTCACCCACCCACCATGTTCCCTTTGCTTAATTTTGCTTCTTTTTTTAAAAAAAATATATTTCATTGTTGTTTTTTTTTAATTTTTGTTTTTTTTTACAGAGAGGGAGAGGGATAGAGAGTTAGAAACATCGATAAGAGAGAAATATCGACCAGCTGCCTCCTGCACACACCCCCAGTGGGGATGTGCCCGCAACCAAGGTACATGCCCTTGGCCGGAATCGAACCTGGGACCCTTCAGTCCGCAGGCCGGTGCTCTATCCACTGAGCCAAACCGGTAGGGCTTAATTTTGCTTCTTAGCACTCATTAGCAGTAGACATATTATAAAAATTTAAAACATGCTTGTTGTCTGTCCTCCCTCCCCTCCCCCACTACACAACAAATCAGGGTCTGTTTCGTTCACAGCTGTATTTCCAGCACCTAGAACAGTGCCTGGCATCCAGTAGGTGCTCAAGAAATGTTCATTGGATGAGGGGTTGACTCCCAAGGAGAGGTGCGAAGGGGGCCTCCACGGGTCCTGGGTCCTCCCCAAGCCCACAAATGCGGCCGGAAGGGAAGGGCTGGTGGAAATAGTTCCAAGGGGGCTGAGGGTACTGGAGGCCATGCCCACCCCTGCCCTCTCCGCCCTGCCCTGGGTCCCTTACCCTGGTAGCGCTGCCTAGAGTCACGAGCCAGCTGCACTGCGAGCTCCAGGCCGATTCCGGATGAGCAGCCTGAGATCAGTACAGTCCGGGGAAGGTCGGCCATGTTGATCCTTCCCTGGACGCAGGACCTCTGCTGGCAGCACCTGCCTCCTGCCTCCCATCTCCCTCATCAGCCTCAGGACGGACCGCCCGCAGGGTGAAGGGTCCCCAGGAGGCCCTGATTCTGAGCTGACCCAGGCCAGGCACTGGGAGGATTCCTTAACCCCAACACACCCCCTTTCTGTTATCTGTAAAAATTTCTTCTCCTCACTGCTGCACTCATACCTGGGGGCTTTTTATTATGATTGTACATTATTCAGGGTGGAGGGAGTTTCAGGAAGCCGGGGGAATTAGCAGGAGTATCCTCTTGTGGTCTCTATTCTGGGCAGAGTCTCTGATTGGAGGGAGAGAGGGAAAGGAGGTGGCAGAGAGGGTGGCCTCAGTGGGGTCCTTTCCGATGCACACAGGAATGTCAGAAGATACAGCAGATACAGCAGAAACCTCCCCGCAAGGCAGGGCAAGGCAGCGCAGAAACCTTATGAGAGGCTCAGCCTCAGATGTCTCCAGGGAGGGAGGAGGAGCAGCCTGGGGAGATTCCCTCTGCTGCCCCTACCCTGGGAACCCCCATCTGCCCCTCAGGCCACATGGGCCCCCACCCCCTCCTCTCCAGGGACACAGGGACTCTTTGTCTGAGGAGCCAGAGGCTGGGAGGGAGGCATTGCTGGCTTCTCTCTCAGGGTGGTGAAGGGGGAGCTCAGGGCCCAGGCCGCGCCCGCCCCTTGGGCTCCTCCCTGCGGAAGCTCTCAGACCCCACAGGCCTGCTCCTGTTCAATGGCACAGACAGCTCCACCTGATGCCCTGGGGCCTCTTCACACTGGGGGGTTCCAGTAGGGTGAGGGGGGGGGCTGTGCCCCACCCCAGAATGGCAGAGAACCGCTCCTCCTTGTGGCAGTGCTCTGTTTTGGGGTGTAGTCAGACACCCACATATAATGGGGGTATGTGTGCAGATTTGGGGTTGGGGGTAGAGCATCCTTTTGGGGACCTGAGCTGGGCAGAGGAGGGCTGGAGATGGAGGTGGGACCCTTTATTGAAGGTTAAGAGTTTGGGGGAAAGCAAGGCCGGTGCTTGGGAATCTGTGGGGAGGTGAGGAGGGGCCGGGACATCCAATTCTGGAATGTGGGAAGACAGATGAAGGTTTGGGGCAAGTCTGGGAGCCTCATTGTAGAATCTGGGGTGAGGTTTAAGGTGGGAAGAGGACCCCTTGTTTAGGAACCTGAAGGGAAGGTGTGGGGGTGAGGCAGTACCTGTTCCGTGCGGCTAAGGAAGGTGGGTAAGAGGTTGGCAGGAGGCTGAGATCCCATTAGGGAGCCTCAGAGGCACAGAAAGAACTTGGTATAAAGCTGTACCTCCTAATTCCAGGGCCTGGATGGAGGCTGAAGTTTGAAGGAGGCTACGAGCTCCTTTGAGGGTGCCTGCTAGGAGGAAAGGGTTTGGGGGAAGCCGGGAACCCTGACTTCTAAGGCTGAGTGGGAGTGATCCTCCTCCTCCGGAGTGGGGTGGGGCAAGCCGGGCCCAGCGCCGGCCCAGGGCTCCGCCCAATCAGCGCTCAACACGAACTTTCCAAACTCCCCCCACCAGCTGTCAGCCACCCCCCCTCTCGCGGGTCCCGCCTGGCCGGGCGCGGGAGTGCAGGGCGAGGCCAGGGCGGGGTCTCGGGCAGTCTCCCGCTGATCCCGAGTGGAGCTGGCCGCCGCGAGTGCGCGCACCGAGCCGTGGAGTCGCCACTCCCCGCAGCCGCCCGGCCGGTCCCCGACCTTGGGTGTGGGCCCCGCCGGGATGGGGAGTCGCCGGGGCCTAGGCCAGCCGCGGGCCGGCCTCTGCCTGCTCCTGGCCTCGCTGCAGCTTCTGCCCCGGACACAGGCGGGTGAGCCCGGAGGGAGAGCGCAGGACACGGAGTGCAGAATCCAGCGAGGCGCCCCAAGGCGGGGTGGAGTCGGGAAGGGGGAGGCGTGCGCCTTGCCCGTGGCTACCGTGTGCGACTGTCCGGCTCCGGGCGATTTGGGGGTGTGACAGCTGGGCGATTTGGGGGGCGGGGAAGCGAGGGGCCGTGTCTCGCTGGTGGGTGCAGGGGAAAGAAGGCAATTTACAGGTGTGTGCGCGGTGCGCAGCAGTGGGTGTCTGGCCGCTTGGAGGGAAACCGTGTGTGTGCCTGAGAGTGAGAGTTGACGCTTGTCTGGATGTGGTGACGGGCTGATCCCCGAAGCGAGTGTGTGAGAGCAAAAAATTGCCCACGAGGACATAAGCGGATGATTCTGAGGGTAACGGCGAGGGGGGCGAGCATGGGAGGGGGCTCATGGGAGATTCAGACTTCCCTTCGCGTCTCCCCAAATGCCTGCACCCTACTCTCCCTCTTCTTCCTCTGCCCCCGATGGGAGCGCGCCCACCTCCTCTCCCCCATCCCCGACCCCTCCCCCCACGCCGCGCTCCCCAGAGCCGGGATCAGCACCACGGACAGGGCCCTGGGAGGGCGCGGTGAGGGGCGAGGCGGGGCGGGGCGGGGGGCGGGGCGGGCGGAGCTCGGGCGGGGGCAGGAGTGGAACTCGCTCCCCCTCCCGAGCGGGCCTAGGGTGTTTTTCCCGAGGAATTTCTCAGGAGGCCCCCCCCACACCCCCCGCTCGGAAGGGTCCCGGGGGCCCCCGGAGGGCTGAGTCAGCGCTGACGCACGCCCAGCTGTGCTCCTCTGGCCGGGTGCCACGTCCCCCCTTCCCCCAGGCAGGGTTCCCGGTGCGGGGCACCTGGCGGTTGGGAAGATCTTGGTCCCTCAAGTGATGATCGAGAGGGCTTCCCGGTCTGCGAGACTCCAGGCAGGCCCTCTTGGAATCCCCTCCCTAAGATACACTCAGACCCCCAACACACACACACACACACCCCATTTTCTCTGAAGTTCAGGGAGGTGCCTGCTCACGTGGATAACCCCAGATTGGCCTATGCCCCATTCCCACGCTCACTCATCCACACTAGCGTCCAATCTCGGGCAGTTATTCAGAATGCAAGCCCCTGGGACACCAGGAATGTTAAACACCGGTGCCCACGCTCAGGCAGCCCCATAGTCACCCGCACACGGCCACAGCTTTTGTCACCCTCCTATGCTTTCAAACGCTCACATATGCTTCCACTGGCACCCACACAACATGGTCAACATTCACAGCCAGTCACCCACACGTTGGCTTGGCGACACTTTCAGATATTACTGCACGCCCCCAACTCCAGTCTAAACACAATCACAGATCACCTGTGAGACCTCACTGCCGACCCCACTCACATGGACACACAGCCACAAGTCACAGAACTGGACCTAATCTTTCCATCACCGGCCACAGACTCACACGCACGGACACCACAGATCACGTCTTAGCCATTCTCTGCTCCACGAATGTCACACACATGCACCATCTCACGCACGCGCACAGTAGCACATACACACATTGCACAGACACTCACACCTACGCTTTCCTACACTGAGGGTATCCCAGCCATGTCCCAGCCTGGTCCCTGCCTGCCTCCCTCCACATCCTAAGCCCCACCCAACGTCTCCCTGGGACCCTGACCACCACAGGGGAGAGTCTGTGAGGGAAGGGTGGGCTGGGTCCTTGACAGACCCCCACCCCCTGACTGCAGGCAAGACTCAATGCCTCTTGTGTGTCTTCTTGTCACGAAGCCAGCCATGAAAAGAAAGGGAGGCCAGTTTCTGAAAGGTCATTTCAGAAGGGACATAGGACTGAAGCAAGAGGCATTTGGGTTAGATGCTGGGAAGGACTTTTTAAATGTGATTGAGCAGCTGGTAGAGAGGAGATTTGTCCCCATGCATAGAGACTGAGGGCTGGATGAGAGGGGAGCCTGGGAGAGCCACACTGAGATGCTGGTTCTCAGCCCTCCCCTGGGCCCCAGCCTGGAGAGGGGGCAGCTGGGATGGTCATTGCACGAGGGAGTGACCCTTGTGGTTAGCAGAGCCTGGGAGCCCAGATCTTAGCCCCAGGGGTCTGTAACCCAAATACCTTTTAATGACAGCCCAGCCACAGAACAGGCAATTAGAGATGGGGCTGATGATGGTAGCAGGATGGGGGGTGGGGGGAGAGATAGAGAGAGAGAGAACAGTCCACACACAGAGATACAGATAGATAGAGAGGCACTGAGATAGAGACATGCAGAGAGAGACAGATAGGAGACCAAATAAAGTAGAGAGAGAGAGAGAGAGAAAGAGAGAGAGAGAGAGGAAGAGAGAGACTGATTCAGAGCTGGACACGGAGAGAGACCTGGAAAGACCGAGACAGAAAGTGGGGCAGAGGGAGGGCGGGGTGGGGGAAGAGAAGATATAAAAAAAAAAAAAAAGAAAAAGAGCAGAAGGAAGTTGGGGTAAGAGGGAGCTGAGGCTGGAACAGGCTCTACAGAGTCTGCAGAAAGAAGTCTGACCCAGGAGAAGCTGGAATGGGGTCCCTCACCCAAGCCCCTATTTCCCTCAGCTCGGGGCCCCTATCCTGGTTCCCAATGGTGAGGTCAGCAGAGCCGCCCCCAAGCTGAGGTCATGGGCAGATCCAGTAGAATCTGACTCCTGCCAAGAGGCTGGGTCAGGGGGTCAGTGGGACGTCTGCTGGGGGTGGAGAGGAGGGGAGGTCGGGCAGGGGCTTTGGGCCAGGGGTAGCCCCACCCACTCTTGCCCAGCCATGTGGTTCCACTTACTGCTGGCCAGCCTGGGCTGCAAGGGGTGGGGCTGGTAGAACTGTTTGGATTGGGCTCTGATTGGGCTAGACCAGTTCCTTCCTTTGCTGGGGTGAGAGGGAGCAGGTCAGAGGGAGGAGGTCAGCAGGTTATCAGAGAGGTAACCTTGGTTCATAATGAAGACAAAGAGGGAGATAAAATGGGGAGGTCACAGGTCAGATGACTGGGATAGGCAGAGGGAGGAGGTCAGAGGGGATGGCCAGAGAAAGAGTGGTCCCAGGGAGGAGATCATGGGTGACGGTGGTTAAGGAGGAGGTCAGAAGGCAGCGGTCAGGAGAGGTGGTGGTCAGAGGGAGGAGTTCATAGGCAGTGGTGGTCAGAGGGAGGAGGTGGGGAAGGAACACTCAAGGGGCTCCATCCTCTCCAAGTGGGTTTCCCCTGGCAAGGGGGCTCCAGGCCTGGAAGTTGCCCCAGGGAGCTGGTGCGGGGGAGTGCGGAGAGGGGGACAGTCTGGCTCTGGGGCTCAGGCCAGGAAGCTTTGATTCATCCCAGAACTAGGTCAGTGTTTTTTCTCTCACCAAAACCAAGGGGAAAACACACACAACAAAACAGGAGTCAACAGGCTCATGGGGCCGCAACAGCTGTGGGTTGGAGAGGGGGGTGAGGGTCCCAGACCTGCTCCCTCTCTCTGACCCATAAACACAGTGTGTGTGTGTGTGTGTGTGTGTGTGTGTGTGTGTGTGTGTGGTGGGGGGAGCTGGGTCCCCAGACCTGAGCCACTCACAAGGAGCCCTGGGCTTATTTTAACTGCCATGCACCCTGCTTCTTTCTGCAGCAGACCCCGTGGATGTGCTGGAGGCTCTGGGGGTGCGGGGGGGCCAGGCTGGGGTCCCTGAGGGGCCTGGCCTCTGCCCCCAGAGGGTCCCAGAGGGCGACCGGGCATTCAGGGTGGGCAAGGCCAGCACACTGGGCGTCCCCACGTGGGAACTCTTTCCAGGTAAGTCAGTGTGGGAGGGACTGGGGGTCATCCTGGGAGCAGGGGTCACTTCCAGGTCATCTGAGTTGCCCCCTTTCCCTCCGGACCCCATCAGATGAACAGTTTCCTGAGAACTTCTCTGTTCTGATCACCCTGCGGGGCCAGCCAGCCAACCAGTCTGTCCTTCTGTCCGTCTATGATGAGGATGGTGCCCGGCAGCTGGGCCTGGCGCTGGGGCCAGCTCTGGGCCTCCTAGGTGGCTCCTTCAGACCCCTCCCCCAGCAGGTCAACCTCCTGGATGGCAGGTGAGTAGAGTGAGAGCGAGGGCCCACAGAGTGGCGGGGTGAGACGCACCCCCCACGGAGACGTCTCCCTGCAGGTGGCACCGGGTGGCAGTCAGCGTGGATGGCGGCGCCGCGACCCTGGTGGCTGACTGTGACCCTCAGCCCCCGGTGCTGGGCCAGGGCCCTCGGTTCATCAGCACAGCGGGACTCACGATGCTGGGGAGCCAGGACCTCGGAGAGGAGAGCTTTGAGGTAGGTGTTTAATGAGAGGGGACACTGAGGCAGCGGGAGGGCAGAAGTTTTATCCACAGCCTGATCTGGAGGAGAGATGAGAGGAGGGGATGTCCAGCTTCCGCTTCCTGCCAGGAAGCGGAGAGCAGGGAGCACCATGCATCCTTGCGCGTCTTTGTGGTGTGTGACTGTGAGATTCTAGAGCCACGAAATGACCATTTGTGATGCGAATATTTGGCTTTTGTGGCGGGAGGATAGGCTGTGATGCGGGGCTGTGCTCGTTGTGGTGGCGTGTGATGCGTGCGGGGAGGGGGGGGGTATGATGTTGGGGGGTGCGGGCAAGGCGTGAGGTTGAGCGGCCATGTGGCAGGTGTGCCTTTGGTGTGGTGACTGTGGCTGGCGACGGTGCTGCGTGTGACTGTGATGTGTGCCACCTTCGGGAGGCCAGCTACCTCCTCCGTCCTGGTGTTCCCCTTCTCCCGGCACCTTGAAGGTCACCTGACACCTGAGAGCGAAGGAACACATATGCCCCTGATGGGACGGATATTGAGGGGTGTGCTTTGCGGTTGTGATTTGCTGTGACCCTGATAGAATCTCTCTTCTCTCAGTTTTGGAGAACCGAGGGGTCACTGGGGCTGTGGTGGGGGCCACCCCCTCCTTATACTTAGGGTGCTCTGGGTGGAGAAGCACCGAGCCTCGATGCTTGGGTTGGGGGTCAGAGTTAGCCTGTGGCTTCCTTCCCTGTCTCCCACCCTCTCCCCAGGGAGACATTCAGGAGCTGCTGATCAGCGCAGATCCTCAGGCGGCCTTCCAGGCCTGTGAGCGGTACCTTCCTGCCTGTGACCACCTGGACCCTGCAGGCACCCGGGTGAGTGAGAGGCTTGTGCTGAGGTCACAGGCTGTCAGCCCCGGCTTCGGGTCTCAGGGATGAGTGAATTCTGAACCCCATCTATGGGCCTGAGTGACTCCTGCCCTCCAACAGATCATAGGCATGGGTGACCTTGACCTGGGATCATAAAGCTGAATGAGCCCTGGCTTTAAGACACAAGATTAGTGGGCGATGTGCTAACATGGCCTCGAGGGACTGGAGTGATGAGGCCCCCACGGGGGGCCTCTGGGTCTGACTGGGGTCTTCTTCCCAGGCCCCCCAGGGTGAGCCAGAAACCGCTCCCCCCAAACGGAAGAGGAAGGGGAAGGGGAAGAAAAAAGGGCGAGGTCGTAAGGGGAAGGGCAGGAAGAAGAAGAACAAGGAGGCCTTGATGCTGGATCCATCGCTTGGCTCCCTGGAGAACCTGGTAAGGGACCTTAGACCTCTCACCTCTGATCGCTGGCTGCCTGACTTCTGGTTCCTGATTCCCACTGATGAAGGTCTCTGCTTTCAGTCTCCATCCTGACTTTTGATTTACCTTAGCTGACTGGTGACTGGGTGGTTGGGAGGGGTTGCTGGTTCTGTCTCATGAGCTCTCCATCTCTGCCCCCAAGTTCTGGGGGGCTGGAGGGAGGGGCCACCTCAGGACGAGGACCTTATTATTAGAAGGATCTTGATGAGGGTCCTGTTTAAGGGTAGCTGGGGTTCATCAGTGTGTCTGTAATTCTTTGGGGTTGACTGTTTGGGGCCGCTGGTGAGGGTTATTTATTGGGGAGTCAGTAATTGAAATTGGGAGCACTATTTGACTTCCCTGATAGAGATTGATGGTTGGTGGGTCCCAGGGCAGGGGTCATTGCTGAAGGCCATTGGCTGGGGCCCTTGGTTAGGGCAGGGGCACTGGTTGACTACATCGGCTTCTGGTATTAGCGGGGAGAAAGACTTATTATTTCAGGCCCAGAGCAGGGGCACCAGGAGTAGCTGCCTCTCCCCAGCCCCTTCCTCAGCCCCTTACCTGGGCCCCCACTGTCTTCTTTGTGCTCTTGACCCAGTTCCTCTGCAGCTGTCCAGGCCAGAGGCGCTGCTGCTCCCTCACTGTGGCCTGGCTGGCTGGCTGGGAGCTCGCCTTGGGAGAGAACACGTGGGATAGGCTTCCGGGATCCTGGCCCTGAGTGCTGGGCCTTGACCCTGCTCAGTGGGCTCTGGAGCCAGCCCCGCTCTGTCTTCCAGGCTTCCGACACCAGGCTCAGCCCTCCTCCTCCACGCAGGAGAGCTCCCCCTGCTGGCTGTCTTGGTCCAGCCAGCACACCTTCGCCTCTAGTGGCCAGCCCCTCCCCACCTCTTATGTTCTCTGGGAATCCTCTTATCCCACTTCCCCAGACTGGGAGGGGGGCAGGGCCCATCTCCTCCTTTGTCTCCTTTTTGTGTTAATTGGCCTGGCCCTAAACCTGATCCTCCCGTGTCCCTTCTCCAGACCTCTACTGACATCCCCAAGACAGAGGCGACAGCTCCAACGCTGCCCCCGACTCCCACGCCCTTGGTCATCGCCACCACCGTGACCATTGGCCGCAATGTCACCATCATGGAGGTTGGTGGGAAGCGGGTGGGGCTGGGAGGGAAGGTCCCTGGGCAGTGGTGGTGGCAGGTGATCAGGGGTAAACTTTGGTCTGTCCTAATGTCCGCAGGAGGGGCTGGACCCTGACAGTGAAAATGAACTGGGGACCCTGGAGACTGATTTAGCCAGAGAGGATGAGGAAGGAGACGGCCCCACCATGGGCCCCAACTTCCGGGCAGCAGAACAGCCATCCCAGACTCAGTTTCACATCTTTCCTGTGAGTCTGGGTGACTGGGTTAGGCGCAGGGGGCGCCTCACAGGGTCACATTCTCCCTCTTGCCTTATTTTTATCTTGCCTAGCATGCCTTCCTACCACCCCAGTGGAGTTGACAAATATTTATCTACAGACACTGTGCCAATGTGGCAGACACTGTGCTAATAGACGGCTCTGTGGGTGGGGTGATTCATTCAACTTTTCGTCTAAGCATGATGAGAAGCCACTGGAGATGGAACAAGATCTGATTGGGTGTCTTAACCGCTCCTCTGGCTGCTGAGCAGCATGTGGACCAGAGGGGGAGCCAGAGGGGCAGCAGGAAAACCAGTAGTCTCCGCAATAGCTGCGGTGACCTGGAGGAGGGCAGCGGAGGTGGGGATAGAAACAGGAGGACAGATCTGGGTCATGCTCCATTTTGGTCTCGCTGCTGGAGGTGGAGGAAGATATGAGGATGACGGTAGATTCCTGATGGGACCGTGGAGTGAGATGGGGAAGCCTGAGGGAGGGGCAAGTCGGAGGTGCCAAGGATCTCATTTTGGATGTGCTAACTCGGCAACCCCGTTTGGCCTCCATCTGGAGACGTCAAGTGGGTGGTTGGTCACGTTAGAAGATTCTGGTGTTCAAGGGAGACAGTCTAGGCTGGAGATAAACCCTGGAGACTGGTCCACCGAGAGAGGCTATCGTTAGCCAAGGAATTGGATCGAATCGCCCAGGGAACTAATGCAGACAGAGAAGGGGGCCCAGGTTCTAGCTGTGGTGCTGGACTGGACAGGGTGGAGGTGAAGACTTCTGTGCCAAGCACTGTTTGAACGTATTCCTATGTTCACGGGATGCCTCTTGTCATGGGATGCCATCATTCACCCACGACTCTGCAGGGGAGGCCAGAGAAGTTAAATGCGTTGCTGTCCACCTGTCAGCTGGTGAGAGGCAGCTCCAGGGTTAGGACCGCACAACAGGCTCTCGCGTGGCGCTCTCACCTGACGCTCCCTGGCCAGGCGGCAGCTGGAAGCTGAGCTGCTCAGAACATCTTGGTTGAAGAAAGGACAGCCCAGGAGGACGGGCCCTGTGTGCATGCGTGCACGTGTGTGTGTGTGTGTGTGTGTGTGTGTGTGTGTGTGTGTGTGGAGTGTGTGTGTGGAGTGTGAGGTTGGTTGGCTGGGAGTTCTTTGTCTGAGTTGCAGGGCTCACATCTTTTTTCTGTCCACCCCCTGTTCCAGGACGCTGGAGAGAAGGGAGCCAAAGGAGAACCTGCAGTGATTGAACAGGTGAGGGGCCTGGGGCTGGGAGGAAGGGGTGGAATCTGGGCCAGAAGGGGAGTCACACTCGTTTTTCCTTCAGGGACGGCAGTTCGAGGGACCCCCAGGAGCCCCAGGACCTCGGGTGAGTCAGGGCTGCATTCCTCTCTTCCTGTCTTTCTCTTCCAGTTGGAGTGTTTGAGTCCCTGAGGTGAGGAGTTGGAATGTGATATTGTCAGGTCATTTGAAGACTATTGGACGGTTGAGGCTCAAAGGATGCCAGAATAGGAATTGGGGCGTAAAGGGGGTTGCTGGGGGTCCGTATAGTATTAGGGGCCAGGAGTGGCTCCGTGGTTGGCTGTAGAAGTCAGCATGGGGTCACGGTCAGTGGTGGGTCAGAAGTCAGCCTGGTTCAAACTTTGCACTTCTCATGACCTCTGTTCCTCTGTCCTCAACAGGGGGTGGATGGCCCCTCAGGCCCTCCTGGACCCCCAGGGTTCCCTGGGGACCCCGGCCTACCGGTAAGAGCCTCCCCCAGGGTGTATCCATCTGGGGAGTGAGGTTTCAGGCGGTGGAGCTGAGGGGGGCAGCATGGATGTCTGAATGTGGGTCTGAGCGGCGGGGCCGGGGATACCGTCCTGGAGCTGGTTCAGGCCCCTCCCCCTCCTCTCTCTCCACCCGTGAACTGTCACTCTGGCTCGGGCTCCCCTTCTGTCTTCTGTCTCCTGCTTTTCTCCCTGTTTCTCTCTCTGAGTGTCTTTTATCTCTGTTTTCTCCTTATGTCCGTGCCTCTGTTTCTTTGTCTCTCTTCTGTCTGTCTGTCTCTCTCTCTGTATTTCTGTCTGTGCTTCTTTTAAAAAAATACTTTTTTATTGATTTCAGAGAGGAAGGGAGAGGGAGAGAGAGATAGAAACATCAATGATGAGAAAGAATCATTGATTGGCTGCCTCCTGCACTCCCCCTACTGGGGATCAAGCCTGCAACCTGGGCATGTGCCCGTGACTGGAAACGAACCCGGACCCTTCAGTCCACAGGCCGACACTCTATCCACTGAGCCGAAGCAGCTAGGGGCTCTGCTACTTTTTACGGCTCTCTCCCTCCATTTCTATGTCTTTCTCTCGCCTACTCTCTCTTTCTCTTTCTCCCTGCCTCCATCTTTCTCTGTCTCTCCCTGCCTCCCTCTCTCTATTTCCCTGTCTTCACCCCTCTCCTCCTCCATCTCTATCTCTCACCCCTGTCTCTCTCTGTCCCCTTCTTCCTCTCTTAGGGCCCTGCTGGCCACCCAGGAATCCCTGGCATGGATGGACACCGGGGCCTACCGGGAACTGTGATCATGATGCCGGTAAGAAGGAGATAGGGTGGCATAGCTTTGGGGGGTGGGGCCTCTCTTTGGGGCTCCCCTCACTGCCAATTGCCTGCTAGTTCCAGTTTGCAAGCGGCTCCCTCAAAGGACCCCCAGTCTCCTTCCAGCAGGCCCAGGCTCAGGCAATAATGCAACAGGCTCAGGTGCGTGGAGGACAATCAGGGGACTGACGGGGTGGGGGTGGAGATGGAAGGACATTGAGGGAATGGCACAGATGGGGGTAATGAAGGGCTAGTCAGGAGACAGGGAGATATTTGTCTCCTGAAGACCCCATCTGGCGGGGTGGGGGCTGTGGTGGGGTGTGTGTTGGGGGGTATTGGAGTCTCATGGGAGAGCTGAGGCTCTGTTGCCCTCTGTCTTTCCAGCTCTCTATGAAAGGGCCCCCTGGCCCGGTGGGTCTCACTGGACGCCCAGGCCCCGTGGTGAGTATAGAGGCTGTGTGAAAGGGAGATACGTCAGTGGAGAGGGGGAACCTATTCTAATGGCATTACCCCATCTCTTCTTCCAAGGGTCTCCCTGGGTATGCAGGTCAGAAAGGAGAGATGGGAGAAATGGGGCCACAGGTAAGATTGGGGGGGGGGTGAGGAGAGGGGGTGGGGACTGGACTGCATGGGAAGGGTCTTCCCTAGGGCCACGAAATAAAGTGCTAGTTGGGGAAAATGACAAAGGGGCTGGGATACGCTTGCAACTACTACCCTTCCTTGGGAATGATTTAAAATAAGTCCTTCCTGCTTCTTATTTTTCTTCCCATTCTCCTTTTCTTTCTCTTCTAGGGTCCCCGAGGCCTTCAGGGACCTGTTGGGCCCCCCGGCCGGCAGGGCAAGATGGTGAGTGACTCCTAGGTCCTCAGGTCATCTCTCACCCATCCCTCCACACCCAGCACCAGCCTCAGCTTTTTGCTCCCAGGGCGTGTTGCTGTCATTTGTGGGGTAAGAGTTGAGGACAAAGAGTTGAGGCAGCTCCACTGAGTGCATGACAGGAGTCTGGCCCAGTCCATGAGGCAGGGAGGACTTGCCAAAATCTGGGGAAGAACCAGGCACACAGGAGAGGAAGGGCATTCCAGGAGAAGGAACAGCATGTGCAAAAGAGAAGTCTGGCACAGGCGGGAAATAACGAACAAGATCCCTCCAGGTAGTTTTAAGTGCCGTGAGAAACACACGGCAGGGCAGCTGCTGGAGACTGAAGTTGAGGCGTCTTAATTGTTGTGACGACGGTGACTTGGACTAGAGAAAGGGCAACGGTTGCAAAGAGGAATGGGTGGGTTTGAGATACATGTGGAAGGTTAGATTAATACAGAAGCTCCCAGCTCAGGACTCTGTATGCAGAAGATGCTCAGTAAATGTAGTGGGTATCTTGATGATGTCACTCCCCCCACAGGGCCGCTCTGGAGCAGACGGGGCTCGGGGCCTCCCCGGGGACACAGGACCTAAGGTGGGTGATGGGGCCAGGACTGGGACTGAGGAAATGTCAGGGTCAAGGACTCAAGGCTCAGCTGGTGTCTCTCTGTGCAGGGCGACAGAGGCTTTGATGGCCTTCCAGGGCTGCCTGGTGAGCAGGGCCAAAGGGTGAGTGTGTGAGGTCCCTCCCATGTGCCCAACCCCTACCCATACTCATGAGCCCCTCCCCACCCCCAGTGTCAGAACTTCCAACCCTGGTTCTGAGCCCTCACCCTTCATGTCCCATCTTCTTTCCTGGGGAGGTGGGGTATGTGTGTGTTAATCTCTACCCCCACGTTTCCACACTGAACTCCCTTCTGGTCCCACCCTAGGGTGACTTTGGCCATATGGGGCGGCCTGGTCCCCCAGGAGAAGATGGTAAGAAGGTAAGTTTAGAGGGGAGTTAGGAGGTGGCTTGGTCTGGAAAGCCAGGATGAGAGTCAGAGAGGAGGGGAGTATTCAAGGGACAGGATGAGGGGTGAGGGTCTGACCCTGAGGGCCAGGAGGCCCCAGCGAAGCTCAAAAAGACAGAGGGAGAGCCCTAGCTGGTTTGCTCAGTGGATAGAGTGTCGGCCTGCAGACTGAAGGGTCCCAGGTTTGATTCCGGTCAAGGGCACATACCCGGGTTGCAGGCTCCATCCCCAGTGGGGAGTGTGCAAGAGGCAGCCAATCAATGATTCTCTTTCATCATTGATGTTTCTCTCTCTCCCTTTCCCTTCCTCTTGGAAATCAATAAAAATATACTTAAAAGAAAAGAAAAAAAAAAGACAGAGGGAGAGCTGTGGGCTAGCACTGGAGTTAGGAGGTGAGGCTCAGGGTGGCGGGTCCAGGTTTGGGGTCAGAGGCCTGAATCCAATCACATGTGCTTATCAACTGGATCCTGCCCCAGGCCCTGCCTCTCCTGCCCCTGGGAGGGGCTGCCCAGATGAGGGACGGTGGTTCTCCAAGGGTCCTTCCTCCCCCTCCCCCTCCCCCTCCCCCCTCCCTCCCTTCTCCCTCCTCTCTCCCCTCTCCCCCAATGATGATGCTTTCCCACAGGGAGCAGAGGGACCTCCGGGGCCCACTGGCCAGGCTGGGGAGCCGGTGAGTATCAGGGACCCTTGGACACCTTGCCTGGTGCAGGGGACGGAAGTCAGGATCATGGGGCCTCAGAGCAGTGAAGCGGGGATAATGCTCCTACTTCCTTGCAGGGCCCCCGAGGACTGATTGGCCCCAGAGGCTCCCCTGGGCCTCCGGGCAGCCCGGTGAGAACGCCACTGTCTCTCTGCATCCGCATCCTGCTGCCCTCTCACCTTCCCCCGCATGTCCACTCCCGCTGCCTGCTCTTCTCTGTGCACTCACTTCCCACCGCACCGCGCAGCGTCGCAGACTCAGACGGAGGCTCCTGCGTGTCTCCCTGTCTCCCATCTCCCATCTCACAGCTTCTCTCCCGCAGGGCGCGGTGGGAATTGACGGTGCGCCAGGTGCCAAAGGAAATGTGGTACGTGCTCTACCCTCCGACCCCATGACCGTCCATATCCTTGTCTGCTCCCATGAGCCCCTCCCCCCACGTCAGCTTCACGGACACCTCAACACCGTGATCCCCTCCAGCTTCACAAAACCCCCCTTTCTCCCCAGGGTCCTCCAGGAGAACCAGGACCCCCAGGACAGCAGGGAAATCCCGGGTCCCAGGTTTGAGCTACCTTTCCCAACAATGTGGGTGGTGATGGCCAGCCCAGGTCACAGACCGCCCCCCGCCCCCCACCAGCTGCAGCACTCGCCACCCCTTTCTCATGCCTTCCTTTACCCTCTTTTTTTTATGTCCCCAGGGACTCCCTGGCCCCCAGGGACCCATTGGCACTCCTGGGGAGAAGGTGAGTGACAGCTCCGTCTCCCCCCCCCCCCCCCCCCCCCCCCCCCCGCCCCAGCTCTTGTTTCTGCAGGAAAAGCTCCCACCGGCCCCTTTTGTTAGCTTTGGATAATGATAAAGCACAACATTTCTTAAACAAGGCAGAGGGACACAGTGCCATTGTTGGGGAAGGGCAGGTGGCAAGACACTGAAAGCCACCAAAGCTAGCTCACACAAGGGGGTGTTGTCAGGGTCCAGGGGAACCCTCAGAAGCCGGTCATAGAAAATATTACCAAGTCTCGTGGGTCAGGAAAGCCCCCTCTCTGGGCCCTGTGCTGCCAGCTTTCTGCCTGCCCATGTTTCTTCTCCCCTGGCAGGCACGCATTTCAGTGTGTCCTTACCCCGACTTTCACTTCTATGTCACCAAGGCTCCTTATGACCTTGTAGTTTCTTGACCCCAATCCAGCTGATCCCAGTTGCTCTCCAGTAAATTTCAGGAGAGAGTCTGACGGGCCCAGCTGGGTCAGTGGCTGCCTCCGTTGGCGTTGGCGGGACAGAGGGAGTCACCTCATGCCGGCCAAGGCCCTTCCCTCTTCAGATGAAGCTGTGGGTGGGAGGGGCTTCTAAAGAAAGGGGTGTGGCTGGGGAGCCCCCACTTCAACATGGCGCACACTGTTCCTCCGTGCCTGGCTCACCCGGCCCAGAGGCAGAGGATTTCTGAGGCCCAGGGAGGCCAGGGGGCTGAGCCGGGGCCACAAGGCAGGCTGGGGCAGAGCTGGGGTTAGATGTCCTGTGAGGGATCTGCTTGTTCTGGAATCCTGATGTGTCGGCATGTTCCTGGTGGAACCCGGGCGCTGAGACCCTCTGTCTCCTACTGTTTACTATCTTTCAGGGTCCACCCGGACACCCAGGAATTCCAGGCCTCACCGGATCTGATGGCCCTCCGGTGAGAGCTGGGTGCCGGAAGGAGGAGGAAGAAAGGGAGGCTTGGGAATCTGGGTGGTCAATGTGGGTCTCTGACGACTTAGGATGTTTTTCCCCCCAGGGTCACCCAGGCCACGAGGGGCCCACAGGAGAGAAAGGGACCCAGGTAAGTGATCTGGAGAGAGGCTGGGCTGGGGATAAGGGTTGGTAAGTCAGGGCCAGGAGTCGGGGGCTTCTGAGGAGAGAGATGAGGGCCCTGAGAGCAGGGGAGGGGGGAGGACAGGATGGCACTAATCTCATCTTCTCCGCAGGGCCCAGCAGGGTCCGCCGGCCCGCGGGGGTATCCTGGACCTCGGGGTGTGAAGGTAGGTGACTCGTCAGCATCGGCTTTGGGGAACCTGCTCCATCAGAAACACCTGCATGTGTGATGAGCGGAATCAGTCTGCCAGGCGCGGTGTAGTGGGAGAGTGGGGTTTGGGTCTGAGCGGCCAGATACAGGAGCGTGTGTGTTACTTTGGAGCTGAACAGCCAAAGGACAGCATTCTAGTGTCGTCGATGCCTTGTGGTTGGGAACAGTTAAGTCCACTTGAGGCCGAACCCATTTCACTGTGAGCACATATGCCACGTCCAAGGCCAGGTCAGCACATTGTAGCCCGGCAGGGGTTGTTTTAAAGCTCAAGCCCAGAGTCACGCCATCTACAAGCACAGCGATGTGGGGACAAGCGGAGAGCCGCACTGTGGCTACATAGAGGTCACCGTTGACTAAGAACAGGGACATGGGAAGTCACATCTATTTGGTAGCCAAATCCAGTTACACTGTAGCCAAGTACAGGTACACTTTACCTGTGGTCTGAGAACGGAGTGCGGTGGTAGCCAAGAGGCAGCTCTTCACATTTTTGCATCGTAGGCAAGTTTGGTTACACTCTCACCAGGGAGGGGGCTATGGTGCAGCAGGCCACGGAGTCCTGTGGGTGGCCACGTTCAGTTACTTCGTAGTCAGGCGTAGCTATATGTAGTTGAAACCTTTGTGACAGCTGAGTCCAGTTCCACTGTCGCCAGGGCCAGAGAACAGGTGTTGCCAAGCTCCGTTACACTGTGGTCACGTGCGTCGCTCAGAACCTGGAGAAGGCCAGGCTGTTGTCAAAGCACAGAGGCGATTACACCCCAGTGCAATTTCACTGTAGTCCGAGCTCGGTTACACTGTGTCTCTCTGTGGAAGGAGACACAGTCATGCTATTGTCAAAAGACATCGTTAGATGGTATCCTACTGTCATTTCGTTGTATCTCTGAGCTCAGTGACACTGTAGCCAAGTGCAGCTTTCCCTGGGGCCGGAGCCCAGAGTTTGGTGCGAGCGGCATCTGGGCTCACACCGAGCCATCTCGCTGTCCCCAAGCACAGACCTGCCTTGTTGCCAGGCACAGAGTCACATTGTAGCCAGTACAATGGGGAGCATTCCTTCGCCTTCAGAGTGAGGCTGGGGCCCGGAATGTTCATCCTCCTTCTCCTGCCAGGAGGAAATGTGGACACAGTGTCCCTGGAGATGGCAATGAATTACTTGGAAATTTGGCCTTCCCTGCACATCCCCACACAGAAGACCTTGGGAGGCTGCCAGTGAGAAAGGGCGGGAGGGAGCAGCTTCCCGCATACACACTAGTGGGCTGCCCCTACCCCACTTGAGTCCAGCATCCTCTTGGCTTTGGGGAACCTGCTTTGGGGGGCAGGGGACTGAGTTTGGGGCCCTCCTTAATTAAGCAGGGGAAGGACCTGAGAGCTTCTTTATTTTCCAGGGTACCTCTGGCAACCGGGGCCTCCAGGGGGAGAAAGGCGAGAAGGTGAGAAGGGAGGGGATTCCTTGTGGGGGAGCCCTAATACGGGGCTCTGCCTGTGAACCTCCCCTGAACCCTGACCTCTGACCTCTGTATGCTCTCCCATTCAGGGAGAGGATGGCTTCCCAGGCTTCAAGGGTGATGGGGGACTTAAAGGAGATCGGGTAAGGTGATCTCCTTTAGGTGGGTTTGGGGGACTTGGGGAAGACAGGGAGGGGGTGAGGTGGGGCAAAGACGGGGGCCTTCATGGAGTAAGAGTGACAAGGAACGGATTTGAGGGCCTCTCCTTTCTATTCCAGGGGCACCCGGGACCCCCAGGTCCCCGGGGAGAGGATGGTCCTGAAGGGCTGAAAGGGCAGGAGGGGCTGCCTGGTGAGGAGGGGCCCCCAGGCTCAGCTGGGGAGAAGGTGAATGGACCTTGGTTACCCCTCCAGTCTACCCTTCAGCTTTTCATCCTGTGGTCACAGCTTCCTGGCCTTTTGCCTTCTGCCCTCTGCCCTTTTCTCTCCAACCTCAGGAGGCTGCGACCCTCCATACCATCTCCTTTGATTCCTCCGCTCAGCATTACAGAGCAATGCCATGCACACTACCTGCTTTTTGTTCCCATAGCCACCGCATGCCACAGGCTTTGTTTTTTGGTTAATCCTTACCTGAGGATATTTTTCCCATCAATTTTTAGAGAGTGGGGGTGGGGGTGGGGTGAGGGGGAGAGGATCTCACCCTGCTGTGCCTTCCATATGCCCCAGCCATCCTGCCCTCTCCCCCCTGACGTCCAGGTTGCAATTTCTAAACCTTGTTCCACAATTCCTCTGTAGGGCAAACTTGGGGTGCCAGGCCTCCCAGGTTACCCAGGACGCCCAGGCCCTAAGGTAAGAAGCCAGGGGGCTGAGGGTGGGCAAGGGCAGGGTTCAGAGCCTGATTAACATCTGGGGGTCTGGGCTGTGGCCCCGGAGTTGAGCACTCCACCCCTGGGTCATTGATAAACAGCATAAGGTATCAGCTTTGGTAACAGAGTTGGGCTCAAATACCTTCTCATTAGCTTCTGTGTGACCTTGGGCAAGCCACCCCTTACTTGCTAAGTAACCCTGGGCAAGCGTCTCTCTCTCTCTCTCTCTCTCTCTCTCTCTCTCTCTCTCTGAATTTTTATAAGAATTTATTGGAACCCAAACTGAGGACAATTGCTGGGAAGCAAGATCTCAAATGCTCTCTGGGCAAGTTTCTTGAGCCCATTTTTTTTCAGTTGCACAACGGAGATGCCAGTGCTATTTATTTCATCCATTTGATTATAATAATGACAATATTTATGATAAAAAAATTTATAGGATCCTTCTTACTTGGTGTGATTGAAATTGGTTTAAACAAAGTCAGCAAGGAGGAGAATCATAAAAAAGACATATCTTACATATCTTGAATTAGTTATAACTTACAATAAAATGCACTTATGTAAAAATGTACATTGCTTGCCAGTGTTTTGATGGATGAGGCTACTGATTAGACACGTCTTTCTGCCACAGCTACACCCATATTACATCATTAATGATTTATAGTTCTCGTTTATATAAAGTGGAGCAGAAGTTAGGGACGCTTGGGAAGAAATCTCAGTGTAGATCCTTCCAGAGTTCCATGCTTTTGGCACAGTTATCCTGCCATTGCCTAAGTTGACAGCAATTTTTAAAAAATAAATTTTTATTGATTTCAGAGAGGAAGAGAGAGAGAGAACCATCAATGATGAGAGAGAATTATTGATCAGCTGTCTCCTGCACCCTCCCCCCCCCTCCGAATACCGTCACAGGGGGGAGTAGAGCTTCAGGTGTGAATGTTGAGGGGGGCTACCCAGCCCACAGCAGAGCGTAATCATCAGGAATCACAACGACGAAGACAGCTGACCTCGCTGGAGCACTTACTGTGTGCCAGGCACTGTGCAGATCACTGTCTACACTGCACCCTATGGAAGCCTCCCAAAGCCTGTGAGGAGGATGTGGCTGGCTACAAACAGGGAGCCGGGTTCCCAGGGAGTTAGGCCATTTTCCCAGGGCCACACAGTGGGGGGTCTGGGATCGCAAGCACCGTGAGAGGCAGGAGGGACGTCAGAGCCTGTGCTGTCTTCCCCGGTGGAGGGCAGAGCAGGAAGGGCTGCAGCGGGTTAGTTAACAGGCGAGGAAGCCCCACGGCGCTGTGTCCTCGTGGGGAAAACAGATGTTGAATAGGGAGCAAGTGAATAAGGTCGTTTCAATACGAATATGATGGGGAAACAAAATTGGACAGTGCGGTAGACGGAGGGTGACTCAGAGGATGTGGTGGTCAGGAAAGTGGCAGGAAGCCAGACGCCTGCGTGATGTCTAAGTGATGAGGAGTAGCGGCCCGTGGGGACGGGGGGGGGGGGGGGGGGGGCATCTGAGGCGAAGGGAGCGGCCATGCAAAGGCCTCGCACAGGAGTGTATTTGTGTCCTCAGAGGAGGCCCGTGCGGCTGGAGTGGAGTGAGCAAGGGGGGGGGGGGGGGGGGGGGGGGGGGGAGAGAGAGAGAGAGAGAGAGAGGAGGGCAGAAGGCCACTCTGGAGGAGACGGGCTGGAGGACCAAAGAAGCTTCTGGAATCAGTGGCCTGGAAAGGCCTGAAAGGATAGGATGGGGTGGTTGAATGGGGTGAGGGGCCAGTGTGGCCCACCACCCACTCTCCTCACCCCACCCCTTCTCTCCGATTCTCTCTACTCAGGGATCCACAGGCCTGGCTGGTCCCCTGGGGCCAATAGGAGAGAAAGGGAGGCGGGTGAGTTGTGAGGGGCAGGGAGGGAAGGGCTTACCTGGGCGACAGCATGCGTGGCTGTGCCTGATGGGGGGGTGCTGGGTGTCTGTGTGCATGCCTGGAAGCACTTGAGGGCATACTTCCTCCCATGTGCAATGCAGGACACATGTAGGTCACCCCGCCTGGCATTGCGGCTCAGGTGCCCCTGCATGCATGTGTGCGCGTGTGTCCGGTGTGCCTCTCAGTGCAGATCAGATGGGGTGGGGCTGGGTGCTGCAGCCTGTGGGCCTGTGACTGAGCGGACGGGGCGTGAGCCTGCACACAGTGTGTGATTGTGGACATGCATGTGTGTGAGGGGCATGCATACGTGTGTGAAAGGATACGATATACATGTGTGTGCATTTCTGTGTACACTGAGCGACTGGGTCACATGCACGCATTACTCGGCTCTGTGTGCATTGCTGCCGAGTAAACGGACATTGTGCATGTGCACACGAGTGCATGTATGTGCTGTGCTTACCAGGACCACGTCTTCACATAAACCCATGCATGTATGTGTTTACATTGAGTGTGCACGTGGTCAAGGGACATGTTGCATGACGGGCTTCACACGTCCGCCCGCGGCTGCGATCACCCAGTGCTTGTCATGATGGCATGCAGTCACGGGTGCAGCTATGATAAACAGGTGTCCGCGTGGACAAACATGCTTATATGTGTGGATCCTATAGGTGCACTCATACATGTCTGTGATCCTTGCGTGATCGTGTGTGTGTGTGTGTGTGTGTGTGAGAGAGAGAATGAAAGGCTTGTGAATAAGTGGTGGCAGACATCTTTCTAGGTCTGTGATTGGGTTCCTTTGTGTGTTTGTGTCATGTGTTTGCACCGTAACTCCTTTCTGCTCCCCCTCACCTGATTGATTTTCCAGGGGAAGGCCGGGCAGCCAGGACTGGAAGGAGAGCGGGGACTGCCTGTAAGAAATGGAGAGCCTCCCCCACCCCACAGGGTCTTGGGGGGCAGGGCTGGAAGAAGAGACTAGGAGAGGGGAGTTGGGGAGGTCAAGAGTGGGCAAGGAAGAGGATTTGGGTTATGTCGGTGTCCCTGGTGGGACAAGAGGGATGGGACCCAGAGGACCTGATCTCATCTCCTAGGCCCCCCACCCTCTCACTTCTAATCTTTGCTTCTTTTCTACTCAGGGCTCCCGTGGAGAGAGGGGTCAACCGGGTTCCACAGGGCCACTAGGCCCCAAGGTACGGGATGGGTGGGCGATCAGGCTCCCCAGGCAGACCCTCTGCCCAGGCTCCCCAGTCCTTCCCAGTCCCTTCCAGTTGAGTTTGTTCTGCGGCCTGAATCTCATTCACTCTGTCCTAGGGCGATGTGGGCCAGGACGGGGCCCCTGGAATCCCTGGAGAAAAGGTGAGTGTGTGAGTGTGTGTGTGAGTGTGTGTGTGTGTGAGTGTGTGTGTGAGTGTGTGTGAGTGTGTGTGTGTGTGCGTGTGTGTGCGTGTGTGTGTGTGTGTGTGTGTGTGAGTGAGTGTGTGTGTGAGTGTGTGTGTGTGTGTGTGCGTGTGTGTGTGAGTGTGTGTGTGTGAGTGTGTGTGTGAGTGTGTGTGTGAGTGTGTGTGAGTGAGCGTGTGTGTGTGTGTGAGCGTGTGTGTGAGTGTGTGTGTGTGTGAGTGTGTGTGAGCGTGTGTGTGTATGTGTGTGTGTGAGTGTGAGTGTGTGTGTGTGTGTGTGTGAGTGTGTGTGTGTGAGTGTGTGTGTGAGTGTGTGTGTGTGTGTGTGTGTGAGTGTGTGTGAGAGTGTGAGTGTGTGTGTGTGTGTGAGTGTGTGTGAGTGTGTGTGTGTGTGAGTGTGTGTGTGTATGTGTATGTGTGTGTGTGTGAGTGTGTGTGTGTGAGTGTGTGTGTGAGTGAGTGTGTGTGTGTGTGAGTGTGTGTGAGAGTGTGTGTGTGAGTGTGTGTGTGAGTGTGTGTGTGAGTGTGTGTGTATGTGTGTGTGTGTGAGTGTGTGTGTGAGTGTGTGTGTGTGAGTGAGTGTGTGTGTGAGTGTGTGTGTGAGAGTGTGTGTGAGTGTGAGTGTGTGTGTGTGTGTGAGTGTGTGTGTGTGTGTGAGTGTGTGTGTGTGAGTGTGTGTGTGAGTGAGTGTGTGTGTGAGTGAGTGTGTGTGTGTGAGTGTGTGTGAGTGTGTGTGTGAGTGTGTGTATGTGTGTGTGTGTGTATGTGTGTGTGTGAGTGTGTGTGTGATGAGTGTGTGTGTGAGTGTGTGTGTGTGAGAGTGTGTGTGAGTGTGTGTGTGAGTGTGTGTGAGTGTGTGTGTGAGTGTGTGTGTTTGTGAGTGTGTGTGAGTGTGTATGTGTGTGAGTGTGTGTGTGAGTGTGAGTGTGTGTGTGTGAGTGTGTGAGTGAGTGTGTGTTTGTGAGTGAGTGTGTGTGTGTGTGTGTGTGTGTGTGTGAGTGTGTGTGTGTGTGAGTGAGTGAGTGTGTGTGTGTGTGTGTGTGTGTGTGTTTCTGGGGAGGAGACAAATCCAGGAGGTAGGGAGACATCATAATGTTGCAGAAGACCAGAGAAAAACCAAGGGACACTTTAGAGAAAAGGAGTGACACTGTTTATTTACGCTGGCGGACTCAGGGAATAACTTTCCAAATCTGAGTAACGCAACATGCAGGGGGCTTCTCTTTTATATCTTTCTGGGGTCTTTGTCCCGCAAATATGGATTATGCTTCTGGTCCTTTTCATGGGCTTTGCAAGAAGGCCCCCAGGTGTTGGGGGTCTCCAGGCCATATCTGATGGTCTGGCCTGGCGCCAGCGTTAATAGCCCTCCCTCTGGGGCAGTGCACTATTCACAGTTTTATGGCCTCTGTAACAGGTTCTGCAAGACCAGTTTCTGGGAAAGAAGTAGTGACTTAATTATAGGTTATCAAGAATGTACACTGGGCTGGCTGGCATGGATTCAGATTGCTACCACCCCCCCCCTCCAAATATCAGGGTTACATTGGAATTAGCCTTTTAGCCTCCTCATTAATGCAGTGGAAAGAGCACAGCCTCTGAGGTCAGAGCCATGAGTTCAAGTCCTACCTTGGCCACTTACCTCCGTGTGACCTTGGGCAGATCACTGAACCTCTCTGGGCCTCAGTGTCCCCCTCTGCACGATGGGACTAACCACGGTCCCTACCCCAAGGGCTGCAGCGGTGAATGAAATGACTCTGTGTCGGGCCCTGTGCCCGGCGTGCAGAAGGCGCTCAGTGTGTGCTAGCTCTTGTCATGATGTGGAGCTGAGGACAGCCAGGCAAGGGGGTGAGTAATGACTTCTGTTCCATTTCAGGGCCTCCCAGGCCTACAAGGGCCCCCTGGATTCTCTGGGCCGAAGGGCCCCCCTGTAAGTGAACTCACCCCGGTGAGGGTGGGCGGGAGCTGGGGCCTGGATAGGCTCCTTATTTGTGCCTCCACTCTCTCCCGCCTTGTCCTTCAGGGCCCCCAGGGGAAAGACGGGCGACCTGGGCACCCCGGACAGAGAGGAGAATTGGTGAGTGATCATTTGACCTCTGACCCCATTGGGCTTTCCATTTCTCTCCCCTGCCCCCCCCCCCCCATGTGACAGCTCCTTTTAATGTTTCTTCCCAGGGCTTTCAAGGTCAAACAGGCCCACCTGGCCCAGCCGGCGTCGTGGGTCCTCAGGTCAGAGTGGACCCCACAAGTTTCCCCAGTGTTGTACCAGTTGGGGGATATTTTTTTGGGGGGGAAGTGGATCTCAGACAGACCCCCCACCCCAGACCACCTCCGTTCAAGATGTGCCTTCTTCCTCTCCAGGGAAAGACAGGAGAAGCAGGGCCTCTGGGCGAGAGGGGCCCGCCCGGCCCTCCCGGCCCTCCTGGTGAACAAGGTCTCCCGGGACTGGAGGGCAGAGAGGGGGCCAAGGTGAGACCCTGCCTGTGGGAGACCTGGCAGAGGGGCCCCAAAGGCCCCTCAATGGCCCCATCGAGGGCTCAGAACTAGCCCCACAGGGGAGGGCAGGCTCACAGACTGGGGGCGACAACCCTCTCGGAGCCTGACCTTCCTCCTCTGCACTCCTGCAGGGGGACCTGGGGCCGCTGGGTCCCCTTGGGAAGGAAGGCCCACCTGGACCGCGGGGCTTCCCTGGCCCCCAAGGAGCCCCAGGGGACCCTGTGAGTATCCTTTGGAGCCCTCTTGTGTGTGCTGGGTCCTGAAGCAGAGAAGGAAGTGGGGGGCTCAGGGCAGGGACATGGTGTGGCATCGTGGGGGGGGGGGGATGACTGTGAAAATAAAGGCATGACAGCAGGAGGGACCTGGAGGAGACCGCGCCCTCCCCCAAACCTCAGTGCCTGGAAGGAGGTGGGAACTATGAGCCCCCCAAAGTGAAGACAGGACCTGGGGGGTACCTGGGGGGGTGTCTTTTGACTGTGAATCATCTCCTCCTTCAGGGACCTACTGGTTTGAAGGGTGACAAGGGCCCCCCGGGTCCCACCGGTGCCAATGTAAGTGCAGCCCCATCTGCTGGGTAGGGAGCAGGGGGGAGGAACTTGGGGTGTCTGGGAAGCTGGGCGCTGTCATGATGAAGTCCACTGTGTTTGGAGTCAGACAGGCTTTGGCCTGGGCCACATCCAACTCTGTCACTCACTGGCCGAGCAGTCATGTCACTCTGAGCCTCAGTGTCCTCATCTGTAACACAGCCCATCCCGTAGGTTATCGCATAACTCAACCAGATGACCGCCCTGACACATGCTCACTGTGTGCCAGACAAGAACACGTAAAACCTCCTTTTTAGCCCTAGCTGGGTTGGCTCAGTGGGTAGAGCCTGTGGACTGAAGGGTCCTCTGTTCAATTCCAGTCAAGGGCATATACCTGGGTTGCAGGCTCGATACCCGGGGGGGCATGCAGGGGGCAGCCCATCAATGATTCTCTCTCATCATTGATGTTTCTATCTCTCTCTCCCTCTCCCTTCCTCTCTGAAATCTCTCTCTCTCTCTCTCTCTCTCTCTCTCTCTCTATATATATATATATATATATATATATACATATATATATAACAAAAAGCAAAACAAAACCCTCCTTTCTGCTGGAGCTTACGTTCTAGTTGGGGAGACGAGAAATGAGCAATGACGAATGTCCCAAAACAAAGCAGCAGAGAGAGGGGGCGTGGGGGGAAGAGCAGTTGAGACAGGCTGGTCAGGGAAGGCCTCCTGAGAAGGAGAATTTGAGTCGAGACTGAGGAGGTAAGGAAGGAGCCCTGTGGAGGTGCAGAGAAAAGCATTCCGGGCGGAGGGGCAGCATGTGCAAAGGCCCTGAGGCTGGACCGTGCTGGCTTATTGGAGGAAACAGCATGGAGACCCTGTGGCTGGAGGGGGGTGATCGAGGGTGAAAGTAGGAGGAAGTGAGGGCAGGGAGGGGTCAGGGGCAGGCTGTGCAGGACCTGGCGGGCTGCCAGGAGGACTTCTCTTTTTTTTCTGTCTGAGGAGGAAGTCCTGAGGGCTGTGGTTAGAGGAGGCACTTGCCCTGACTTAAGTGTTCACAACGTCCTCTGCCTGCTTTTTGGGGAACAGATTGGATAAGCGCCAGTAATCGCTTAAACTCAGTGCTTGGCAGCTTGAAAAACCTCCAGAAACGAGAACTTGTTATTGTTATTTTCCCTGACCCCTCACCCCTGTTTCCAGGGCTCCCCTGGGGAGCGTGGGCCTGTGGGCCCCGCAGGAGGCATTGGGCTTCCTGGCCAAAGTGGAGGCCAAGGCCCCGTTGGCCCTGCAGGCGAGAAGGGGTCCCCGGTAAGTGCCCTGCCCACCCCATTCCACATACCAGGACCCCACTCCTGCCCTGGCCCTGACGTCCCTCCTCTACTCCCACATCAGGGCGAACGTGGTCCCCCTGGACCCACTGGCCAAGATGGGACCCCAGGGCCCCTGGGGCTTCCAGGGCCCCCAGGAGCTGCCGGGCCTTCGGGCGAGGAAGGGGACAAGGTGAGAGTTCATGGAGAGGGAGGGGCTGGAGAAGGTGGGGGGGGAGGGGGTGGGGGGCTTAGGGGTGGGGGTGCTTCCTCATCCTGTTTCCTCTGCAGGGAGAAGTGGGTACCCCTGGCCACAAGGGGAGCAAAGGCGATAAGGGGGATGCGGTAAGTGGGGGCCCCACTTGAGGGTGAGTCCTCAGGGAGGGGAGAGGGATGTGGAGATGGGCCGGGTAGGGGGACGGAGGGGAGGCTGTGGAGCTTCCTCCCTCCTTGAGCCCCATCCTGAAGCAAGTACCTGAAATGAAGGGGCCAACAGAGCCGCTGGGGCCAGGAGGACGGGGAGGGCGCCGGGGCAGCTGCTCTCGCCTTGGTGGCATGTCATTCTCTCTGGCTGTGATGCTGCATGGCTCTGAGGCTTCCCTTTGGCACTTCAGCCACAGCTGCCAGAATCAGTCCCTGGTGCTGTGGGATGTCTGGGGAACAGCCTGATGGGCCGAGCTTAGGACAGATGTCCGTGTCTGATCCCATCAGCTCGTGGCTAGGAAGACAGGGTTGGGGTGTGCGGCTAGGAAGGCAGGGTGGGGGTGTGCGGCTAGGAAGGCAGGGTGGGGGTGTGCGGCTAGGAAGACAGGGTGGGGGTGTGCAGCTAGGAAGACAGGGTGGGGGTGTGCGCGCAGCTGTGGCTTCCTGCTGGGGGCAGTGGGCAGGGGACAATGATTGACATCTCTAGTGCCAACCCCCAATCTTGAACTTAAGGGATTTTCAACTCTGTTTCCTCCTCCAGGGCCCACCTGGACCAACAGGGATACGGGGTCCTGTGGGACACCCAGGCTCCCCGGTAGGTGCTCCTGGCTTTGCGACCACCCCCTGGATCCCCGATGGGAAGGGACAGTGTCCTACACCTGGACTCGGGCCCAGACTCAATTCCAACCCTAATCTACTCCTCCATGTTGACAGCCAGTATGAACTCACCCCAGAACCTGACTCAATCCAGAACCTCAGCCCCAATCTCAACCCTGCTTGAGACCTTAACCTCAATCCCAACTCAAACCTTGTCTTCAAATAAATGCCTCATTAGCCAAACCCTGACTCAGTCCTACCCAAACCCCAACCCGACCCACCCTGCAATGCTGACCTCAAACCTGAGTTCAAACTTTGAATCTGGCCTTGGCCTCAACTTCAAACCCAACCCTAAATTCCATCTCAACCCCATTTGAACCCTGCTCTTGATCTTGACCTTCATCTGAACCTGACTCATCACCCAGTGTCCATCTCAAAACTTTGACTCAACCCTTGAACTCATTCCCAAACTCTGACCCTTAACCCACACCCCTAACTCCAAACCTGACCTTGACCCTCCCCACAGTTAATCCCATCCCTGATTCCAACCATCAACCTCAATCCTGACTTTGACCCTGAGCCTATTTCCAACCATTGACCTGGACCCCAACTTTTCCGGCCCTCTTCTTCTCCCAGGGAGCAGACGGGGCTCAGGGACGCCGGGGACCCCCAGGCTTCTTTGGGCAGAAAGGAGATGATGGAGTGAGAGGCTTCGTGGGGGTGATTGGCCCCCCTGGCCTGCAGGTGGGTGTCTGAGTTTGGGGGTGTGGCCTCTGGTTCCCCACACCCTTTGCCCCAATCTTGCTTCTTTGTTCCACAGGGACTGCCAGGCCCTCCTGGAGAAAAGGGGGAGGTTGGAGACGTGGGGTCCATGGTATGGATAATGGGGGGTGGTGGAAGGGGGAGGGTAGTGGCAGGGTGAGGGTGACCATTAGATTGATGTTGGGGTTATCACAAGACATATTGTCACTTTAGGGGTCATGGGAGTCACAAGCATCAAGGGTGGTGCTTGTGGTTACTAGAGCCTTTGAGGGGGGGGCATGGGGTCACTTGATGCTATTCTGACTGTCCCACAGGGTCCCCATGGAGCTCCAGGTCCTCGGGGTCCCCATGGCCCTAGTGGATCAGAGGTGAGGACTCTGGGGCTGGGGGAAGGGCATTGGAGGGGGGGACATCCGTTTCCCAAGAAGCGGAGGTTGGGGTCCCAGGCTCACTTCTATCCCTTGTTGTCCCTTCAGGGCTCTCCAGGGCTGCGTGGAGGAGTCGGTCAGCCCGGTGCTGTGGGGGAGAAGGTGAGAGAGAGAGGACAGTGGACTACACAGGGTTGGGGAGGCACAGCCAGTTCTGATTGGGGGTGCTGTCCCGGGGAGCCTTTCCCTGTCTTCCAACATTGAACCCTCACTTTGCCTCCCGTAGGGTGAGCCAGGGGAGGCTGGAGACCCAGGGCTGCCAGGAGCCCCAGGCATCCCAGTGAGTGACTATTTTCTGAGCCCCTGCACCCATCCCAGGAAACCCATGGTTGCTGGGTATCTCAGGACACCTTGACCTCTGGGGAGTCCTAAGTCACCCACTGACCCAGAACATGTGGGCACCCGGGTTACCTTGATGATAGAGCCTTGGGAGGTGCAGTGCTGCATACAGGCTGTACACTGCACAAGGGTGTGGGGCCGAGGGGTAGGTGGGGGCCTGGGTCTGACATAAGCCCTGGCTTGGGGATGAGCTTCCCACAGGGGACCCCTTTTCTAATTCACTGAAGGGTGGCACATGGGCTAGACCAACCTTGCCCATGACCTCTAGGCAACTGGACTATCCTGACCCCTGACTCCTGTAAGTCCTAGATCCCCTTGACTTCCCACCCTTGGGAAGCCTAGGCTACTCTGACCCCTGACCCCAAGAAAATCCCAGACCACCCGATTCCTAAATCCAGGCATACGAACCTTGACCCCTGGAGAGTCCAGGCTCTTCTGACTTCTGTTTCTGCAAAGGGGCCCAAGGGAGAAGTTGGTGAAAAGGGGGACACAGGCCCATCTGGGGCGGCAGGACCCCCAGGCAAGAAGGGCCCCCCTGGAGAAGATGGAGCCAAAGGGAATGTGGTGAGTCCTGGGGGAGGAGAAGGGGGAGCTGGGGGAGGGGCACTCGTGTTTACTCCAACCGGCTCTTCAACCTCCAGCCAGGCGTCCTGTCCTCCAGGGTGCAGATTCTATGAGCAACCAGAACATGGCTGAATGAATGGTTCAATGGTTGATTGAATGAATGAATCAGCATGAAAATACAGTGGTTATATGTCATTGTGGGGGTGACACTTGCTTCCGCATGGAATCATTCTAACCATGCTGGGAATGGCAAGGTCGAGCTTGGCGCTGATGTGGGATTTGCCGTCAGGGAGAGGTTGAGACCCTCCTGCCACAGCGTCGCGGGGGTGGGGGGTGGGGGCACTCGGTGGCAGGGCAGTGAGGAGCTTCAGAGTCAGGGGGACCTCCATTTGGATCTCTCCACCCCACCACCTGCTGTGTCCCTCTGGGTCAGTTCCACTTGTGCGTCCTGAGCTGGGAGGCTGCTGGGAGGATGAAGTGAGATGATGCATGTCATCTTAGCTCAGCACCTGCCCCCATTAACCACTGGAATGTTCTCTCTACTGGGGCGGAAATGTTGTGTTTTGTTCACCATGTATCCCCAGCAGCCAGAACTGTGCCTGGCACCATTTATCTGTTAAATGAATGGATGAATGAATGAATGTGCAATAATTCTGAGATGTGATTACTCATCATTCTGTGTTCCAGGGCCCCAGAGGGCTCCCAGGAGATCTAGGACCCCCTGGAGACCCTGGAGTTTCGGTGGGTGTGAGCCTTCCTGTCCCCATCAAATTCCCTAATTCTCACCCCCACTCACCCCCACAGGTTCCCACTCACCCCAACTTACTCCCATAAGCCCCCACTCACACCCACAGACCTGGTGTCCTCGTCTCCCCACCCCCTGGACCTAGACAAGGTCACTGGAACAAATCACCTTCATTATCCTCCAAGCCTCACCCCACATTCTCATGTGCCCCCATGAGCCCTCCCAACTCTGTTCCCTCCCTCCCACCACAGGGTCTAGATGGTCCCCCAGGGGAGAAGGGAGACCCTGGTGATGTTGGAGGACTGGTGAGTGAGGGAACAGAATGTGATGCTGGGAGAAGGGGCTGGGCTGGAGAGTAGGCGTAGAGGAGTGGGTTACTGCGGTACCCAGGCCCCCGTAGGTGTGCCTGCTTTGCCTCTCTGGGGCCTCACCATGAATGTGAGAAGCTTGAGGGAGGAAGCAGGAGATGGCTGGTGCTGGGTGATGTTTGGGTAAGGCTGGCTTTGGGTCAAAGGATGGCTTTGGGTTTCAGGATGAACGTAGTCATGCTCAACCAATGCTAGCTAATTCTATCCTGGTGTTATAATCTCCACAGGGCCCGCCTGGCGCTTCTGGGGAGCCCGGCCCCCCAGGGCCCCCTGGAAAGAGGGTGAGTGATGACCTGGCTCCTGGCTGCCCTGGCCCCAACCTTATCCCACTCACCCCCACAGACCCCCACTCACCCTCACAGGCCCCCACTCACCTCCTCAGCCCCCCACTCACCCTCACAAGCCCCCCACCCCCACAGGCCCCCACTCACTCACACAACCTCCCACTCATCCCTAAAGGACCCCCTCTAACGGTCTCTCCCTTCTCAGGGTCCTCCTGGCCGCCTGGGTCCAGAAGGCAGAGAAGGGGAGAAAGGGGCCAAGGTGAGTGCCCCCTGCGCTGACCCCTCAGCCAGCAGTTGGGCCATCAGAATGGGGAGGGGCCCGGTGACTGCCACAGGTGCCCCAGTTCCCTCCCCCTTCCTGAAGATTCTTGGTTAGCGGTCAGGAGGCAGGTGCACCCTGACTCTCTCTGCCCCCTCTCTTGCCCCATCCATTTTAGGGGGAGCCAGGTCCTGATGGGCCTGTAGGGAGGACAGGCCCCGTGGGGGCTCGAGGGCCCCCTGGACATGCTGGGCCTGAGGGTCTTCGCGGGATCCCTGGCCCTGTGGTGAGTGGGGCGGGAACAGGGGTGGGGAGGGGGCGTTGGGACCAGACCCCCCTATGTGCGCACACTTTTAATTTCTCATCACAGTCGGGAGGGGCTGGCCCTGGGTGGGGGAGGGCGTCCATACCGGGTTCTGACAGGGAGCAGTTCCCCATGTTCTGTTTCATCCCAGGGTGAACCAGGCCTCCTGGGACCTCCTGGACAGACAGGCCCTCCTGGTCCCCTGGTAAGAGACTTCTGTGTCCCTGAGGCTCTGGCATAAGAACTGCTCAGTGACCATCGAATGCCGTGGGTGCTGATGGCCCCTCACTGACTATCTGCAGGTCTCCCCTGACCATGCATACGATCTATCCTGACCACGTACCTTGGTGGTCTACACTGACCACAGTGCCCCTCCATCTCTACAGGCCAGCATGACCATCAGTCTTGATAGTCTACACTGGCCACCACACTGATCTCCACCACTGAGCACCCATATTGGCCATCCTCCAGCCAAACCCTTCATTACCCCTTGTCACCCCTCCTCCCTCTTGACCAGCCCCATGAGCACATCCCTGGTAATTCTCTGTGAAGTCTGGGAAATTTCCCATTTGACCACCCGCCATCATCCGCAGGGATCTTAAGATTTTATGTTTGAGCCTCAGCAACTGATTCTCCTTCTCCTTCCAGGGGCCCTCTGGCCTCCCAGGGCTGAAGGGAGATGCTGGCCTCAAGGGGGAAAAGGTAAGAATACCTCCTTCCATTATCCCCCCCCCTCATTTACCTCCATTCCCATGGGGTCTCCTCTGTTCCCCAAATGCATTACCCCAAGGCTCTAGGAGAAAACCTCCCCGCACCCCCTTTTCTCCCTCCCCACACGCCTCCTGTGTCCTCCAGGGCCACATCGGATTGATTGGCCTCATTGGCGCCCCTGGGGAGGCTGGTGAGAAAGGGGATCAGGGGCTGCCAGGCGTGCAGGGCCCTCCTGGCCCCAAGGGAGAACCGGTGAGTGTATGTCCTGCCCCAAGTGGGAAGAATGTGTCTGAAGGAGGGGATGGTTGGGGGCAGAGGTGGGCTTGTCTGTAGGCTGTGGGGGTGAGGGAAGCCTGGGTCTGGAATGCTAGGGGTTGTGTCTGGGGAAAATGGGGGCCTATCTGGGAGCTTGGAGGCTGGAGGCTGTGTCTTGAGGGAACTGGAGGCTGTTCTGAGTCACGGAGATGAACCCTGTCAGTGATGACCCTGCTGTCCTTTCTCCAGGGTCTCCCGGGCCCCAGTGGCTCTCTGGGCCCCCCTGGGCCCCCAGGCGTGGCAGTGAGTATGAAGGGTCGGTGAGGTGGGGTCACCATGGTGAGCCGCCAGGACTCCATCTCTCTGTCTCTCCCCCACAGGGCCCTCTGGGACAGAAGGGCTCAAAGGGGGGGCCGGTAAGTACTCCCTCTCCCCGGGCTCCCCTATTTCAGTTCCCCACCCCTCCAGCGCACCGGAACCCTCAATTCCTTTGCAGTCATTCATTTGCCTAGTCATTCAGTCACACATTCAACACCTACCATGGCACTTCATCAAATCTAAGCTGCCATCAGCTGTAAGATACACCCTTCTTTTATAAACGGCTACAGACGAAAACAGTTCTGCCAAAGGACTGTGACCTGCCAGAGAGGTTAAGATGCTGATTTCAGAGTCGTTAAAACATGGAAGGAAAATGCCTGCTTTATTCTTGGTGCTGGAAGTTGCATGTCCCTGCCCCAGGGCTGTGTGTGTGTGTGTCTGTGTGTGTGTCTGTGATTGTGTGTGTCTCTGTGTGTGTGTCTCTCTGTGTGTGTCTCTGTGTGTGTGTCTGTGTGCATGTCTCTGTGTGTCTCTGTGTGTGTCTGTCTCTGTGTGTGTCTGTGTGTGTGTGTCTCTGTGTGTCTCTGTGTGTGTCTGTCTGTGTCTGTGTGTGTCTCTGTGTGTGTGTGTGTCTCTGTGTGTCTGTGTGTGTCTCTGTGTGTGTGTCTCTCTCTGTGTGTGTCTCTCTCTGTATGTGTCTCTCTGTGTGTCTGTCTCTCTGTGTGTGTCTGTGTGTGTCTCTGTGTGTGTGTGTCTGCCTGTGTCTGTGTGTGTCTCTCTGTGTGTGTCTGTGTGTGTCTCTGTGTGTGTGTGTCTCTCTGTGTGTGTCTCTGTGTGTGTGTGCGCATACATACATGTGTTGGCAGGAAGGGGTCTCCATAGACAGAGTTTACTCCCAAGTGGTTTCTCCCTACAGGGATCTCTCGGCCCCCGTGGAGACACTGGCCCTCCAGGCCCCCCGGGTCCCCCGGTAAGTTCCCCAGGGATGAGGGTTGGAGTGTACCCACTGGTTCTCCCAGTGCTCAGAACGAGGTGGGGCACCCAGGTGTTCAGGGGAGGCAGGGCACCCACCAGATGTTCAGGGGAGGCAGGGCACCCACCAGATGTTCAGGGGAGGCAGGGCACCCGCCAGATGTTCAGGGAGGCAGGGCACCCACCAGATGTTCAGGGGAGGCAGAGCACCCGCCAGATGTTCAGGGAGGCAGGGCACCTACCAGATATTCAGGGGAGGCAGAGCACCCGCCAGATGTTCAGGGAGGCAGGGCACCCGCCAGATGTTCAGGGGAGGCAGAGCACCCGCCAGATGTTCAGGGAGGCAGGGCACCTACCAGATGTTCAGGGGAGGCAGGGCACCCGCCAGATGTTCAGGGAGGCAGGGCACCCACCAGATGTTCAGGGAGGCAGGGCACCCACCAGATGTTCAGGGAGGCAGGTGCTCTGAAAGCTGAAGAGGGATCTGGCTGTGTGTGTGGAGAGATCAGGGGGTAACCATGGAACGCCGACTGCGTCTTCTCTCCAATCCATCCTCCCTCCCTGTCTCTCTCCCCAACTCTTCTGTCTCTCCTGGCCTTTCTCTGTCTTTGTCTCAAATACTTCTCTCTCTCTCTCTCTCTCTCTCTCTCTCTCTCTCTCTCTCTCTCTCTCTCCTGTACTTCTATCTCTCCCAACTCTGCGTTTTCTGTCTTGTCCTGCCTGTGGGTCTCTGTCTCCTCCTCCCCCTGTCCCTGTTCTGTCTGACTCTCCTCTGACTCTCCCTCACCTTTCTCCTCTCTCCCGCCCTTGTCTCTCTGCCTCCGTGTCTCTCCCTGTCTCTCCCTCCCTGGTCTCTGCTCTCTCTCCCCACCTCTGCTCAGGGTCCGCCCGCGGAGCTGCACGGGCTGCGCCGGCGCCGCCGCTCGGTCCCCGGCCCGCGGGTGCTGGAGGCCCCGGAGGGCGGCCTGGAGGAGGTGCTGGCCTCTCTCACGTCGCTGAGCTTGGAGCTGGAGCAGCTGCGGCGCCCGCCCGGCACTGCCCAGCGCCCGGGTCTCGTGTGCGGCGAGCTACACCGCAACCACCCGCACCTGCCGGATGGTGAGGTCCTGCCCCGGCCGGGCGGGCGGGGAGCCGGGGGGCCGCCCCTCGCCCGCCCCTCACCCGCCCGGCTCTGCGCAGGGGAATACTGGATCGACCCCAACCAGGGCTGCGCGCGAGACGCTCTCAGGGTTTTCTGCAACTTCACGGCGGGAGGAGAGACCTGCCTCTACCCCGACAAGAAGTTTGAGACCGTGAGTGGCTCTGGGGGCGTCGGTGGGCGGAGGAACGGGGACCGGATCCCGCCCCATCCTCCCACCACCGGGAAGGGCTGCTCCGCCTTCCGCCCCCACACAGGCTTCGTCAGGGATCCTAGCCTTCCCGCAACCCACGTTTATGGAGCACCTAGTGTGCCACGTGCTGGGGCTGCAACGGAGAACAAACTCCCCCCCCCCCCCCCCCCACACACACACATCCCCCGCTTGTACGGAGCTTGCCCAGACCGTGTCAGGCCCGTTCTGGTAACTTAGATGCATTCACTCACTGAGCCCAACCACCAGCTGTGTTAGTTCTGTCTTCATCCTCCAGACAGGGAAACTGAGGCACAGAGAGGCGACCAGATTACCCATGACAGTCTGCCCCCAGAGCCCCAGCCCTTAACCACCAGGCTACTGCCTCCTCTGACCTGCTGTCTTATAGGCCCCGTGGGCTCACTGTCCTCCAGGCTGCAGGCTGAGAGGTGAGGTCAGCTGGTCCCCCAGAATCCTGGTCTCCTCCCTCAGGCAGCCCTGAGCCTAACCGACTCTCACACCGAGCACCAGGCTTAGAAGAGGGCGAGCAGCACCAGCCCTGGACCACCCGGATTGGAATCCGAGCCTGTCACCTCAGTGTTTTAATCTGTAAAATGGGCATAAGCAAGCACCTACCCCACAGGGTGGCTGTGCAATCGCAGTACTGATGCCCGTATCAGGAAATACTCATTAAACACTGGCTTTGCGCTAATATCTCTACTGCAGGAAAAACACGCAGCCAGCATAGGACCTGCAAAAGTGTATAGCAATGTTCTTCTGATATATTATTATTTTTAACTGGTCAGAGTCCTGGGTTAGTGGCACTCAGACCTAGGTACAGGGGCTGGAATGCAGGACTTGATCTCTACACAGCTGCTGACATCCCAGGCCTGATCCCACACCAGCTCACCTTCCTCCTGCTCAGACAGAAGCTGGAGAGGGAGTGAGGAAGGTTCTAGGTTTGGGTTCCCCAGACTGTGGACAAGTCATTTATTGAGGGGGTGATCCCAGGAGGCAGCAGGAGGGGACAGGGGGATGCGAGAGGAATGGAGAGAGGCAGCTGGTATTGTTAATATGTCACCAGTGAGCACCCAAGTTTCGGTTCCGCTGAGGACTTCTGGGAAACAGGATAGAGGCACCTGGAAGCTGGCCCACCTGGGCAGAGGGGAAGCTGGGGCATTAGCCACCACCTCATCACCTCTTGTCAGCCATCAGTTGAGGGCTGCCTCAGAGCACGGGGTCCCCTCCCCTTGGGCCTTGCCCTGTGCACCAGCCAAGCCCACTCCCATGGCCAGACAACGGCCCATCAGTCCCAGATACAACCTGTAGCCTTAATGGATGGGAGGTAGATGCAGAAAGGACATGGTGGGCGCCTGCTACTGACCCTCCCTCCCTTTCCCAGGTGAAGCTGGCTTCCTGGTCCAAGGAGAAGCCGGGAAGCTGGTACAGCACATTCCGTCGAGGGAAGAAGGTGAGTTGCCGAAGGCTGAGGGGGCAGATGGCATGAAAAGTGCGGGAACCAGCATGCGGTGTTGGGAGAGGGGCTACGAGGGGTGAGAGGAACAGGACAGACGTGCCTTGTTGGTGAGCTGTAGGCTGGGGAGGGAGGGGGGTGGGGCAGCATCAGATGTGTGGTGGGGGAAGCACGGGGCTTGGTGGAAACCAGAGTCAGTGCTGGAAGGACCTGAGGCTCCCTGGGCGAAGTCACAGCTCAGCTGAGACCGAAAGAGTGAGCTGGGTTAGCAAGTTCAGGGGGACAAGGAAAAGTGTTGCAAGCAAGGGAACAGCATGTGCAAAGGCCCAGAGTCAAGAGAGGGCCTGGTGAATTTAATGAAGGAAAAGCCACGTGCTCTGCTTTAGGGAGTGCAAGGGGGAATGTGGTTAGAGGAGAGGCTGGGAGGTGGGTGGAGGCGAGGCCCATCTCCCCAGAAAGAGCCAGGCTGTAGGGAGCCATGGGGCATGTTTAAGTGAGGGAGGGGCCCAGATCACATCTCTGTGTTAGAAAAATGCCTCTGGGGCTGCTGGTGCTGGTTGTTGAGACTGGAGCCTGGGAGACCAGGAAGAGACGGATGTGCTGATCCAGGAGAGTGAGGAGAGGATCCAGGCTGGGGCTGGTGCTATGGGGATAGAGAGGAGGGCGTGACTTGGAACAAAAGCAAAGAGGGCAAGCTAATAGGACCTTAGTCCTTGATGAGCTGCAGGGGCGGGAGGAGACAGGCCTGCCCAGGTTCCTGATTGGGGAATAGGATGTCTGATGAGGCGCTGAGGTACGTAAGGGAGAAGACCAGGTTTAAGGGGCGAGGGATCTTGGGTTCAGTTTGGGACTCCTTTATGTAATGTATATTTATATGCTAAGCACTGGGAACATAGCAGCAAATTAAACACAGTTCTTGACTTCATGAAGTTGATATTCTCCTGGGAATATAACCAAGGAAACAGACGGTCCAAGGAAACAAATAAAGCTGTGGTATAATGTAAGTCGGTATCTTGGTTTGGATTCCTCTCAGATCTAGGAGGCGATTCCAGAAAATATCAGTCGGGGGATGTGGAAATAAGACAGGAAAGAGAAGGAAGTTGAAGGCTGCATTATGGAGCTCATTGTCTCAAGCCAGTGATATGTGCATAATATACTTTATTTAACCCAACATATCCAGAATATTGGCAGAGCAATATGAAGATCGTGGAGGCATTTTACATTTTTTTTTTTTTTAAATAGAAGTTTTACCTTCACAGGACATTGTAACCTGGAAGCTAAATTTCATCGGAAATGCTCCATCTATACTTACATTTCATAAAACCTGCAGCTGCGAAAGTAGACCCCCATAGTCAGTTTGTTCCAAGCCTAAGCTTTCAGATAACTGGGTGGAGGCTAAGTTAAGAGTCACGAATTTAAGTGAAGAATTTGAATTAAATAATTAAATTAAAAATTAAAATTAAACAAACACAGTTAAAAAATAGTTTCTCAGTCTGTCACATTTCTCTTTTTGGTTAATCCTCTCAACTGAAGATATTTCTTCCATTGCTTTTCAGAGACAGTGGCAGGGAGAGAAGGAGGGGGAGAAAGAGAGAGAGAGAAACATCGATGTGAGAGAGACACACGGACCGGGTGCCTTCTGCACAGGCCTCCACCACCTGCTCCTTGACTGGGGGGCGGGGAGCGAACCTGCAACCCGGGTACATGCCCTTGACCAGGAATCCAACCCGAGACCCTTCAGTGCCTGGGCCCCTGCTCTAACCCCTGAGCCACATTTTCAGCGCTCAGTAGCGGCCATGCCCAGGGGCTCACCGGAGAGCGATGAGTGGCCGGATGCTCACCTGCTGCCCTGTCCCACCCCAGTTCTCCTATGTGGACGCCGACGGGTCCCCGGTGAACGTGGTGCAGTTGACCTTCCTGAAGCTGCTGAGCGCCCGCGCCCGCCAGAGCTTTGCCTACTCCTGCCAGAACGCGGCTGCCTGGCTGGATGAGGCCGCCGGCGACCACGGCCGCGCCCTTCGCTTCCTGGGGACCAACGGACAGGAGCTGTCCTTCAACCAGACGGCAGCAGCCACCGTCACTGTCCCTTATGACGGCTGCCGGGTAAGGGGGAGGGGCAGGGGCTGGCCGGGCAGGGAGGGGCGGCCTCGCTCCCCCACCCCCCGCCCCCCTGACTCCCCGTCTGTGTCTTCCCCCGCCAGCTCCGCAAGGGACAGACCAAAACCCTCCTGGAGTTCAGCTCTTCCCGAGCGGGCTTTCTGCCCCTGTGGGACGTGGCGGCCACCGATTTCGGCCAGACCAACCAGAAGTTCGGGTTTGAGCTGGGGCCCGTCTGCTTCAGCAGCTGAGCGTCTGGGGCGCGGGCGGGGCCACGAGGGAGCCCCAGCTGGGGCGCACTTGGTGCTGAGGCTTTGAAGCCGCCATATTTATCGTCTCCTGTGCCTGTGGACTCAGAGGGAAGTCTGCTCGTCGTGGTCAGACAATGTCCCTTCTCCACTCCCCGGGCTGCGGGCTGGACTCCCCTGGCCCAGGAGTCCAGCCCCCCCCCCCCCCCCCTCTGCTGGAGTGATGCAGTCTTTCTCCCCTCCCTGCCCATTCCACCCACAACTCCCACCCGGATCCCCCACGCACGAACTTCTAATTCAGAGCTGAGTGCCCCCACACCTGTCTTTCCCTTCTCAGGCAGTGCCCCAACACCCTTTGGTGCTACCCTTCCCCCTAGTTAAGCACTGGACGTCTCCTGATCCCAGGCTGGGCCCCTCCCCTCATTCCTCTTTTCAGGTGGGTTCAGAGAGAAGGAACTGAAGTCAGACCACAGAGGGAAGTGAGACTTGCCTGGACTGAGCTGTGTATTCCTTTGGCTGCCTCAGCCCAGCTCTGAATACAGGCCCCCTCATATCTCACCAAGCCAGATGGCTGGGGGACCAAGATGCGGGGTCAATCAGGATCCTAATGGTGCTGCCCTATTTATACCGGGATCTGTATTAAAAGGGAAAATCCCCTCTGTTATATATTTAATCTGCTTCCTCCTCACAGAAGGCTGGGATATGATGAGAGAGATTCTAGCATGACCCCCTCCCCACGCCTCCCCAGGGCATCATTGGCTTCTCAAGTCTGAGAATAAACCACTGAACTGTGTCCCTGTCTGTGTCCTTCATCTGGTGCTGCCCGCATCTGTCTTAGGGTCTGTCTATGGTGTCACCTGAGGCATTGCCAGCACCTATCTTCATCGTGTTGTTTGGTGGAGGTGGTTTGAGGGGGTGGGGGAACCCAATTCTAATGGGACTCACTGGAGGTGGTGGGCCTGTTTATTAACTCAGGAAAAGTTGAAAATAGCTAGATCTCTAAGAGAGCAGATCTTAACTTTTCTCACCACAAAAAAAAATAAAGAATAATTATGTGATGTAATACAGGTGTTAGTGAATCATTTTGCAATATATATATGCGGATCAACACATTGTCCCCTTAGACTTACATCTTATATGTTATATATGTCAATTATATCTCAGTAAAGCTGGGAAAAATGTGATCCCATTAGGAAGGCATCAAACTTGAAGAAAGAGCCCTGACCGGTTTGGCTCAGTGGATAGCGCGTCGGCCTGCGGACTCAAGGGTCCCAGGTTCGATTCCAGTCAAGGGCATGTATCTTGGTTGCGGGCACATCCCTAGTGGGGAGTGTGCAGGAGGCAGCTGATCGATGTTTCTCTCTCATCGATGTTTCTAACTCTCTATTCCTCTCCCTTCCTCTCTGTAAAAAGTCAATAAAACATATAAAAAAGAAAGAAAGAAAAGAAGAGAGGGAGGGAAGGAGAGAAGGAAGAAAGGAAGGAAAGAAAGAAAGAAAGAAAGGAAGGAAGGAAGGAAGAAAGAAAGAAAGAAAGAAAGAAAGAAAGAAAGAAAGAAAGAAAGAAAGGGCCGAAACCGGTTTGGCTCAGTGGATAGAGCATCGACCTGCGGACTGAGGGGTCCCAGGTTCGATTCCGGTCAAGGGCATGTACCTGGGTTGCGGGCACATCCCCAGTGGGAGATGTGCAGGAGGCAGCTGATTGATGTTTCTCTTTCATCGATGTTTCTAGCTCTCTATCCCTCTCCCTTCCTCTCTGTAGAAAATCAATAAAATATATTTTAAAAAAAAGAAAGAAAGAAAGAAAGAAAGGAAGATCTCCATGTTAATCTTGATTAGTCCTGGAGACACTGGCTTGAGCTGAGGGGATACATGGAGAGATGACATGGGATGTGGTTTTGATTTGAAATTAAAGGACTAGATGTCAAAGGTCTGGGTAGCAAGTCAGGATGAGTTGGAGGTGAAGAGAAATGAGTTAGGAGTTGAGCCTTGAAGTGAGTTTGGGGCTGGAATTTAGGGGTTGAAAATGGGTTGAGGGTGAGTTGAATTGGAGGTTGGTTTGGAGTGAGTTGAATGAGGCTGGGGTTGTGAATTAGTGATATGTGTTGAGGTGGAGGATGGACAATGAGTGGATTGAGTTCAGGGTTTGGAGTTGGATTAAATTGAATTAGGGTTGCTTTGAGATGTAAGATGAACTGAGTAGAGGTAAGTAGCAGTTGCTATGGGTAGGGAGTTGGAATTGTCAGTTTGATAAGTCAAGCTGGGATCAGTTAAGATGAGAGTTGAGTCTGAGGTGGCTTGAATTGGGGATTAGATGTTGGGTTGAGTTTTTTATTTATTAAGATGTAATTCAATACCATATAATTCACTCATTTGAAGTATACGATTAATGGTTTTTAGTACATTCACAGACGGGTGAAACCATCACCACAATCGATTTTAGAACATTTTCCTCACCTCAGAAAGAAATCCTATATCCATTAGCAGCCACTCTCATTTCCTCCAAACCTCTCAGCAGTAGGCAACCACTGATCTTTCTATCTCTATGGACTTGCCTATTTTGGACATGTCATGTAAATGGCATCTTACACTATGTGGCCCTTTGTGTCTGGCTTCTTTCATTTAGCATCATTGTTTTAAGGCTCATGCTGTAGTATGCATCAATACTTCATTCCTTTTATTGTTGAACTAGAGGCCCTGTGCATGAATTCGTGCATCGGTGGGATACCTCAGCCTGGCCAGCGGTTGGGGCCAACTGGGGCCGGCCAACTGGGGGGGAGGGACCGCGGGAGGTTGGCTGGCCGCGGGAGGTTGGCTGTGAGAGTGCACTGACCACCAGGGGCAGCTCCTGCGTTGAGCAGTTGATTGGTCGTTCATTCACTTAGGCTTTTATATATATATAGACAGTATTTCATTTTGTCTACCCATTCACCAGTTAATGGAGATTGTTGAGTTGAGTTAGGAGTGATGGAGAGCATGTGTGTTGAATTGGGTCAGGTGAGGTTGGGTGGGTAGAGGTTGTAGGTTGGGGGGAGTGCTTTCCCCAAACCCAGAGCTTACCCTACTTCTCCTGCCACCGGATCCACTAAGGTCACCTGAGTAATTGTCTTGGATTCCCTTATGCAATAAATGTCATGAAGAATCTTACTGCCTTGAAGAGTGTTGATGTCTCGACGTTGATTGATGAGTTCACTCATCACACACTTACTCATTTGTTTCATTCTATTGAGTGTTTACTCAGTGCCAAGCACTGTTCCAGATGCTGGGGACAGAAGAGCGATGTGGTTGCTGCCCTCAGAATATTACTCCTGAAGGAGATGATAATTCTATATAAACTAGTAGCCTGGTGCACGAAATTTATGCACATTAAAAGGGAATTAATTAACGGAAATATTTTAATATTGCTATTTGCCCTTTCTCTATAATAGAAGTGTAAGAGATGAAAGGAAATTAGTAAAATGTATATGAAAATAATATATAAATTTATTAATAAATAAACAGTAACAGAAGGATATAACAACAGAGGCATGATGCAAAAACGACAAAAACATGATATGAAAAAAACAAAAACATGATATAGAAACAACAGTGATGCAAACAATGACTGATAAACTTATTCTAATATCTCCCTGTACACTACATTAAGGGTGAAAACACTTTCAGAGTGCTTGACTAATTTCCCTTGTGCTGAAGTATTTAGAACTTTAACGTCACATGCTCTTTGAACTTGAGAGAAAGCAACCTATAACTGACCATGTACAAAAATGGGTTCAGGTAGGAATATGCCTACTCTGTCTAGAGTTTGTCCTTGTGATTTATTAATAGTCATCACAAATGCTGTCATCATGGGAAACTGTCGTTGAATCAATTTAAATTGGAGGCCAGTGTCAGATGGGGACAAATCAATTCTTGGAATCAGAACAACCTCTCCCTCTGCAGATCCTGTTAATACTTTAGCTTCGATAATGTTAGGTCATAATCTTTTGATAATAAATCTGGTACCATTACAAAGACCCCATTTACTATTAAGATTTCTCAATAGCATGAAGTGAAATAAGCCAGTCAATGAAGGAAAAATACCACATGATCTCACTCATTCATGGATAATAGAGACCATTATAAACTTTTGAACAATAATAGATACAGAGGCAGAGCTGCCTCAAACAGATTGTCAAACTGCAGCAGGAAGGCCGGGGAGGGTTGTGGGGCAGGAGGTAGGGGGGTAAGAGATCAACTAAAGGACTTGTATGCATGCATATAAGCATAACCAGTGGACATAAGACATTGGGGGATAGGGGAGGCTAGGGGACTGTCTAGGGCGGGGGGATAAAATGGACACATATGTAATACCCTTTGTAATAATTTAAGCAATAAAAAAAAAATAAATAAAAAAAATAAAAATAAAAATAAAAAAGGAAAAATAAATAAATAAATAAATAAATTAAAAAAAAAATTTCTCAATAGCATGATGATTGCACCCACTTTCAATTTTAATTTATGGCACGGCATTCCCAAAGGAGTAATACTATTAAGAAATTCGATGGGAAAATTTTCCTTTTCAGCATCATCTGTGGAATCAACGGAATCATCACTCAAATATGTGTGAAAATCTCCATCCAGTATATCCAAAATTTCTTCATTTAATTTTTGAATGTGCTCATTTTTTTGGACAAAGAATTGCACGTTTAGATATATTTTTAATATTATCTATAGATATAGTATTTCCAAAGGTAGCTTCAATAATAGATCCATTACAAATCATTTCACAGGGGATTTCAATAATATCCATTCCTAAATGAAAACTGCTATCAAGTTTGCCATCTCCAAGTTTTACTAACTATTCACTATAAGCAGAATCCTCTGATCTCATATTTGTTTTAAGAGACAACTTTCTGAAACATCCCCAAACATTACAGTACTTTAAACTTGTCTGTACTATGGCCGATCCCATAGCATGTGGTTCAATACTGAGACATTGTCGAAAATCCCCTCCGAGAAGGAGAACTTTCCCACCAAATACAACATTCAAATTCATAATTTCTCCTAGTAATCTGTCTATGGCATTTATATCATGACCGGATGCTATGATGCATTCATCAGTAATGAGAAGTTGGGTCTTTTTAATAGTTTTAGCAACTTCACTGTTTATATCAAGTCTAGAAATTGAAGTTTCATTTAATGGAGTTAGTCATTTTTATTGGGAATGAAACGTTCTTCCACCGAGAAGTAAATTTGCAGCAATTCCTGTAGATGCTGTGGGTAAAACAGTACCACCACAACCTCTAATATAATATATTAAAACTTCATTGTGGGGAGCCGCTACAGTGTTTTGGACAGGTTCAAGCCTTGGACTGATGAGAGGGCACAGTCCTCTCATGGCCACGTGCAAGTCCCAGCTTGGAGGGCAGGGCCCTCCCCGCACAATTATAGCCAACAGCTATAGTTGTAAGCTTGAATCTATGGTCCAAACACGTGACCCCATGTGCCTGAGTGATGTAGGCTTGATAGAGTTCAGGTGCATGTAGTTGAGTAGGATTGAAACCCAGGAGAATGTTGTAAACAACTTGATCACGCCCTTACTTTGCCTCGTGGCATCTGCTATAAAATAAAGACACAGCTGTGGGCGTGGTCGCTGTCTCTCAGAGAAGCAGTGTCCCACCGAGACCCAGCTTTCATTCTCTTGTCTGTCTTTTCTAAGCCTTTCAGCCACCCCCATTCAGGTACACCCTTGGCCGTGCTGGCACGGCACACTTTATAAAGATATGCCTCCACGCTCGAGGGCGGGTTCCTGCCTCAAACCTCACCCTTACCTGAAACAGCTCCTGGAAATAGCTCGGGGAGGGTGCAGCCATTTCCAAGACAACCCCTGCAGGACTGACTTCCTTCCGGTTGGTCGAGCCTCGGGTCGTGGTGTTACACCCAGGGTTTTTATTATATAGGATGTGATTTCAAGTAGTGGTGGTTGTGAAGGAAAATCAAACAGGTTGCATGGCTAGATAGTGATGGGGTGGGCAGTTAGAGAGGCTTCATTGAGGAGGTGACGTTTGAGCGGAGGCATGAAGGA